GGAGTACACCCTGGACAGGTTACCAGTCCATCACAGGGCAACACACAGAGACACACTGGACAAGCAACCATGCACACAGATGCCTAAGGCCAATTTGGACAGACCTATCAACCTGACAGTCATGTTTTTGGACTGTGGGAGGAAGTCGGAGAACCCGGAGAGAACCCACGCATGCAGAGGGAGAACATGCAAACTCCATGCAGAAAGATCCCAGGCTAGGATGTGAACCCAAGCAACAGTGCTACTCACTGCTCCACTGTGACATCCATTCTACAATGCAAATAACCACATATTACATATACATACACATGTAGCTTACCATCGCTAGCAGTGTGTGAATGTGAGAGTGCATGCAAGCATCTTTGAGTGTCCTAAACAAACTCTATACAAGTTTGATGATGATGATGATGATTATTATTATACAACTCCAGGTAAATAATGATGTGATGTGAAGATTATGTTGCCGTAAACATTTAGAAAATATTTTACAAACTGTATTTTTGATATCTTTTTTTAAACTGACAGAGAGCTAATGTCTAATAAGCCAAGACAGAGCTAATCTGTGTTTCTCCTGACTGAGGTTGTTCATTGAGCTATCTACAATAAATAAATAAATGAATCTGCAGGAATCTACAGAAACTGTCTCTTTGAACTCAGACCTTAACAGTCTGTACTAAACAGAAAGCAGACGGTTAAATAGCTGTAACCTTCAACATGACAAAAGCAATGGTGCTGAGGGTTGCAGAAGCCTAGAGGAGTCCAAAAAGTCAAGTTTATCAGAAGTGACTTGGATTTTTGCATAATACACATTTAAAATGTTTCAAGCACCCTGAATGTATGTATTCATATCAATAATGAATCAAATGATCTTATGTAATCCAAAGCACATGGGCTTTATGAAAAAGTCATTATCCACAACCTTATTTTGCTTTTTACTCAGAACCAAATGAATAAGTCAGCATCTGTTGCTGAACTGAGTAACTCTAAGCTCCTGCAGTGAAGTTAGTCAAAACCAAATCGTCCGTCAGTGTCGTGAACGGAACTAGAAGGACCCGTGGTGACACCAAACGCAGTGAAGCTCCTTTAAAAGTTTTTGATAGATGTGGCGTACCCAAGGAGGGCGAGGCTGGAGACAGAGTCGGAGAGGAGGCGTGGGTCAAAAACCAGAACGAGGCGAAGCAGGTAAATGGAGCAGGCTAGAGAAAAGGTCAAAGACAGGCGAGGGTCGGGATGGCAGGCAGAGTCCTAGGCAGGGGTCAGGCGTGAAAACGAGGTCTGGAGGCTGTGATCAGGCTGGAAGATCTACTAACAAAAAGTGTTCCATAATCTGGCAGGGAACTGCTGGCTGGCTGGTGAATATACTGTATAGCAGGGGGAGTAAGTGTGAGCAATGAGCTGATGACAGGGTGCAGGTGAAGGTAATTAAGTGGCTGAGGGCTTGACTTAGGGGGCAGCAGAGGCAGAGGAGGGTGTAAGCCTGGGAGTCATGACAGTCAGGGGAACAATAAATAAAAACACATGTATGAATGTAAAAAAATTATTTGTTTTCATCATATTAACATAAATTTAATGATTTTGAAACGTCTGCTTTTATTAATGTATGTATTTAATGAGAAGAAGATGGAAATTGCTTGAGACGGAAACTTTTACTTCTATAATGTGCTTAAACAGGACAGCATGCCTTTGTTTTGAAATAAAAACTGCAGAAGCAAACAAGAACCACAATCATCAGAAAAGGCAAAGCTGCTATAGTGACTCATTAGGGTCACCATAGTAACCTCACTATGTGTACCATTAATTTCCTTTGTAGAAGAGAAAGCTCAGAGCTGACATGAAATGGGAGCCTACGTTTTGATACAAGAAGTATAAAGTTGTAGGAGTAGGAGAACCGTTTCTAACCTGAGCATGCATGATACCATCAGAGTTTAACAAAAGTTGTAAAAATTAAACTGCAGCAAAATCTTTAAAGACATTAATAGACCCACTTAAACTTGAATTATGTCAATTGTTTTAAATCTCTCTGTAATTCAGCCAATTAAGCACCACCACTGTGGGCCTTTTCCACTGCTAATATTCAATTTGACCATGGGCAGCTCTAGGGGAAGGGCCACAGGGGCATTGACCTCTACTGAAATCTGTGTGACCCCTGAAGAAGTGCCCCCTGTCAACTGTCACTAATTTGTCCGTTGTAGGATGATCAGATTTTAGGTGGGTGCAGTTCCAAGTCTAAACACTAGTTAAGCTCAGGAGCCAAATAGGAATTTCCTGTGGGAAATCTTGTGTAAGGACTAAGACTTGGCCCCCCCTGTAAATATCGTGGCTCCTTGATTTTCAAACAAATCCTAGATCCACCCTGGTTCAGAGCCTGTGTGAATGGATGAATTTCTGATCTTGAGTTGAAGGTTGCCACCACAGCAGAGCACTTGAGATGAGCTCACACCTGAATAATAAATCAATCCTGCAGCAAAAAAATGACTGACTCATTCTGTCCTGTCCTCATCAACACGGCGACAGGCCTTAGGAGCCATTATATAATAACTGCAAAGGCCAGTTGCAGCTTAACGTGAGGCTGCTTCCCCGAGCTGCTGCTGAAATGCCTTTTTTTTTTTTGGGCTCCAGTGCATTGTGGCATTGCACAAACCACAGGCTATTAGGACACTGCTATGGGTAAGGGGGGGGGGGGGGGGGGCTGAAACTTGTTCGTAAAAATCCTCTTACTCTTGCTTCTCTACTGTCATGCAGAGGGCATTATGCAATCAGTGCAGGTTTTGTTTTGGCTGGCGTGGTTAAGGTCAGAGTTCAGGGGAAACCAGAGGGGGTGATACTTAACGGGGACCTAACTCTAGTTTCTGATGATCAAATGAGGGAGTGACTGACCATTTAGAGCATGCTGTTTAATTTTAGAAACACCCTGAAGATCCCTCTGCCTGCTAATCGAAGCCGTGTTCAGTGAGTGACACTGACACAAGAGCTGAGCTGCACAGGCACGTAAAAATAGCAGTGCTGCACCTCAGCTGGCTGGGTCTTCACCATGGAGGACAAGGAACATCTTCATGTTAGCTTCGTTAAGAACAAACACTGTCCAGCTCCCTTTCTCTCTTCTCTCTTTTGTTGTTCATTTAACCTCTCTCCACCAGCCTGATTTATTTGTAATTACACATTTGGTTTAATGGGAAGCTGCAGCAAATGTATGCTTCCAGGTTACAGAACCTTCCTCCTTGTTAGAAGCACTTCTACTTTAATAACTCTGCTCTAATGCTTCACATACCATTAAGACCATTAAGTAAAGTTTCCACAAACTGTTCTCTGTTGTTTTAAAGCCTAATCCATTTTTAAAAGGCTTCTGCATTCTATTTAGCTTCTGCAACAACACCAAAGTGCTTTCATATGATGTTGCCCCACCAGGTCATGTTGAAGAAATGATGCTATAAAGATAGTTGTTGGGCTGTTGGCTGATCCAATAGGTTCAATAATGATAAACACAGTTTTATAGATGACCAAAAGTCAAATAAACTCAATAAAAGAAGGATGAAACCTGTCAGATGAGAGGAGGTATTTGGAGAATCATCTAAACTCTGATATCTCCATAGAGGATTAACTTAGCAATAAGGCTGTTTTCAATTCACATTTGACCTCGGACACCTTTGTCTCATCCTTGACCCATCAAGCTAATGGTGCCCCCAAGGGGTATCTGGGGGTGAGGGGCATAGCCACCCCACGGGCCCAACAGGGATAACCCCCTCTTTTAATTAATCATATTTCTGTTAATTTCTGTTATTTCTGTTGACTGTAAATTCATCCTCTTTACTCTTTTATCAAGAAAAAAAATTCTTGAGAAAAAAAAATCTATTAACCCTCTCGGGCTCAAAATAAGTTTTGATAAAAAGATGAACAACTAAGTCCTTCAGGAGTACCTCTGAGTTTAAAAATGCTCGTGAAATACGTACGTGGAGTAATCAGGTAGGTTTTAACGTTGCAAATCTGCAACGCCTGCCTCCTGAGGGTTAAAACTTATGAGTAAATAAACTAATTATAACTAATAAAAATGTGTACAGATCGCTGCTGCTCATTATTTTTATCACATGAATCTCCATAGTTTTTGTGGAAGTTTTTGTGAGAACAGCAACATGCTTTTAACTTTTGTAAAATTCTAAAAAAAAAAAGGTAAAAAAACAAGGTTGAAATAATAATTCAAAGAACTGTTTGAAATGTTTTTCCTGAAATATTTGTGTTTTTCAAATTTGAGATAAATGTATTTTGTTTTCTAATTAAAATTAATGAAGGATAGGGTTAGGGTTAGGCTAAACTCAGCCAGAGTTATAAGGTCCGATTTGGTGTGCCACACTAAAATGTTCCCTTGCCCCCCTATGAAACTTTTCTGGGAATGCCACTGCATCAAGCACACATCTGCAGCTCAAGAAGCACCCCGTCATCCCAGGTTTAGGGAAATGGTGAAGATTAAATAACTTGAGTTTTTTTTTGGGTGGTAATGCTTGAGGAAAGTTTTGGATTTGCTTATTTTGTTCCTGTTCCTGGTGAAACTGCTTCTTCCCTCTCTTTCTAAGTGTGTCTGGTACATTTTGATAATTTTCTTGTATCAAATCTTTCTTTCATCAAATACAGAAATTCATGATTTCATATCATCAGTGAAAGTACTCTACACCTGCATGCATGCTTCTTTGTTTTTAAAGCAGAGACATCCCAGGACTGAGGTTTTGTGTTATTCTCCAGACCATTCAGTGTTCTATTTTTTCCACAGCTTCACTGTAACATCTCATCCATTCTCCTGCGGTGCTCCATCATTGAAGAGTTGTAGAGAGCATCTCTTCTCCCAGGCTCCATGCACTTGTAGTGGTCACAGATTCAGGTGCTGAAAAAGTGATGAGGGCAAAAAGCCAAGAGCTCAGCAGACAAGCTGCACAGGTCAGAGCGTTAACTGGTCCTCTCTGGCTTGATGGGCTTTTAGCAAAGATAACAAAAGGCACTTCAGGTCTCAGTCATTCATGAGGAACAGGAAGTTTTATTTCTGCCAAAAGAAGCGAGCCATGTGTCAGCTACTTGCTGCTTCCAAAGTGACAGTCATGAGACTAAAAACAGGAAAAAGCAGGAGGACATGTTGCCGGGAGCTCGTTACTCTGCAGCCAAATCTTTTTATTTCTAATCAGCTGAAAATCTATTTGAATTCTTTCTTCTGACACAAGAAGGAAAACGTTTTCAAAGCAGTGAGTCAGTGACTATTTAGAGCTCGTTCCTTCATCTCTTGGGGCCTTCGTCTGATTGGCCAAGAGCAGGGGCCATGCTGTTATAGGAAAGACTGAAGATTATTGTTATTTTCCCATACACTTCATTAGCTGTGAATCATCTGTCTCCACTGAGCAGCATCAACAAGCATCCACTCCTTTATCTTTGCCCCAAGGAAGAGATTAACAGGTATTAACAACACAGCCTGGGAAATGTCTCATCCTGCAACATCCATCTGAATATAAACAAAACAAAAATAATCTTGTGTTTGTCTTTTGCAGGGTGATTAATTGCATATTTAATATCACCTAAATGCAACTTAAAATAGACATGCAATGAGCGCCGTCAGTTTCTCCTGACAGGAATAATTGTTGCAACAGTGTAGCTGCAGCATGGTCATGGCTTTAATTAGTGAGTGAAAACAATGAGTGCCCGGCTTCCTGATTATATCCTTTGTCAGTGACACCTGCAGCCCTTTCTCCATAATTTAGAGTAGTGGCCTGCCATCAAAAGAAAACACACATGGCTGAAAATTTGGCTTGTTGCTAAGCGATGGGAGAAGACATAGATGAGATTACAACTGGCTTCTCCTTTGTGAAAGCATGTGCTGCCCATGTTGGTTTCTTCCTGAAGATACAGTTGTTGAGTGACCTTGTCGTCCACGCACATCTGATCAAACACAAAACTGTAAGGGTTGTCATGGAAACCAGGCGCAGTCCAGACGGCAAAACAAAGGATGGTGCTTCTGTTTTTTTTCTTCATTCTGAGTTTCTGCTTCTTCTTGCCTCTAAACACCAGAAGAAGGAGATGAGATGTGAGATGCAAGATTAAATAATATATGAGGGGAAACTGCAACATGTTGTGTGCGTGCATGTGTTCTCTTGTACTGCACGTGTTATGAAAGCAGCTCATGAATCACTTGTTGGAGTTCAATGAAACTAAGAAAGAATTCATGTGTAACTTTGGCATTGATCCTACTCAAGATGACTGCCAACATGCGCAAGGGGACGTAAAAATGACTGTTTTAGTGAGATGTACTCATATTGGTTTAAGTATCCATAACCCCATAATTTAGCTACATTTGATTATTTTACAAACCTTGGCAGTGAGGTGCATGGATTCCTTAAAGCTGTGCCACTTTTAACATATCAATTAATTTTGTAGCATTTTATTAATGAAATCATGTTGCCTTGTAATTAAAAACAGATTGTTTACACAAGCTGTAGTCATTTCCATGGGTGTTTGGTTTTTGCAGGTTTTAGTCTAAACTTTATAGTGAGATAAATAAAAAAACCCTGAGTGCAAATGATAAACAAACCTGCATATTTAGTTCTTTGGTGCAGTTCCAGTTGAAGCTGTGATGTTTGCTGCAAGAAGGGAGTCTGGCTGATTACAGGTTTCTGTTCAGCTGTGAGACGAGACAGGAGGGTTTGTTTACCTTGTAACTAGATCGGGCAGGTGGAACTCTACAAAAGACTCAAGCATTTGAACCGATTTGGCATTTTCAAAGTTAAACAAATACATAATAAATTACTTTTGCATGGAAGGTCAAACTGCAGCCCATTTTTCTAAAAACAATAATTAAACTGAGGTTTATGCAAGTTTCTCAGCTCACAAAGTACAAATGGATCTCCAGAAATCTAATTAGTAGATAGCAAGATATCATTTTTGCTCCGTGAGCCCCATCTGAGCTGGAAGGTAAAGAACTAGAGAACATGAGGCCAACCCAGTTTTGCCGCGGAGCAAACACAGTCAACGAAAGGCCGCAAGCAGTTGCCAGGCAACACTATCCCTATCACTGCAGGAAGTGAAGTCGAACAGAACATTAATCACTTTCAGCTTCATCTCACCAGAGTCACGACACTGCTAATATACAGCCAGACAGAGGTTTGCTCAGTCTCGCTGGTTTGTGGCTTTAATTCCATGAATCACGCATAAAGTGTAAGAAAAATTTTTTATCTGCCCAGTTATTATATTTGTGAGAATTATTACAATTATTTGTCAGAGACAAACGCACCACCAGGTTTCAGTCTTATGTGTGCTTCTGCTGAAGGTAATTTAAACCAACTTTACTATCACTGAATAAATTCAAATTCAAATTCAAAGATACTTTATTCAGACCAGAGGGAAATTAAGACTCAGATTATTCCCTAAAGTAGAGTAAACACGAGGAGAAAAGGTACAGGGAGGATTTTAAATATCAGATTTCAGAGTCTATTCTAGAAACACAACCATTTACAGAGTAGTTTCTTATTATCTTGATGAATCTCTTTAATCTTTTTTTTTTTACAAAAACAAATAGCCATTGTCAATTAAAAATAACCTTTTATGACAATTGGAAGTTGGTTTGTGTGGAAAGCGAATAGCTAATGTCTCACCTGTTTTAAATGGAGCTGCCCAATTGCAAAACAAAAGTCTAAACATTTTCGTCAACATTTGAAACCTTCTTTTTCATAAAAACTTATTAGGTTAGGAGAGGCTATCCAAGTTCACATTATTAGAAAGTGACTGGCTCAGATTCAAAGCAGCAAGTGGCAGAGATGGGCTTTTTAATGGTGTTTAAAAAGTATTAGACCAAAATTACATTTAGCACTTTAAAATAATTACAAACAATATTAGTCATTATGTCTGGGTTTTATAGGGTCAACGACACATTTTGATGTAAACACCAATGAGTTATAGGGAATACCGGAAGGACTTGGAGGAAAATTGATCTGATAGATAAGCTAATGACTAGTCACAGTGAAGGCAGTAACAACGCTGTCACCCTAAGGCCTGGAATGTACTCGCTGTTAACGACGCCTACGCATGTTTAAAATGGCTGCCACATGTGAACTGCATTAATTTGAGGCGTCATTTGAGCGTGCCCCCAAAAATAAAAGCAAAGCGTCCGAATGGTGCAACATACGAGTAACCAGTAGGTGGAGTTGACAAAACAAGCAAGAGAGTAATCATGGTGACTCTGTCTCTGGTTTAGAGGATTTTAATACTGTCTATGATAACGCTGCTGTCTTTCTTCTGTCATGATCTCAAAATTAACCAGTTACTGGCCTGGTCTAAGTTCTTTAGTGCGCCCCTAGTGGAACACTCCAATACTACATGCTGTGTTGTGCAGCAGCAAGTATGTGAACAAAGATGCAGCGTGTTGCCTGCGCCAACGCAAGGTTAAAAAAAGAAAGTATATCCCACCCTAAAGCAAATCAAGTTTCAAACATGTCATAATGGTTCATTCAAAAGCTTTTTGTGGACCTTCATCAACTGTACATTATTCTGTAATTCTAACTGCACCTCAAACAATTTCTACTGTAAATAACTATAGATTTTTTTGTAAATAAATGCATAACAATAATAAAATGTATATTGTGTGCATGAACTGCTGTGACCTTTTCAGACTTTTGTCTTGGTTCCACCTGGATTAGCTGTTAGTGTGCTTTATCAGTCCAATCTAGTCACTGTTTCTACAAACTGTCTGCATTTGGTGAAATATTAACTCTCCCTAAACTTCAAAGGATCTGAACTATTTCTTTAATCTTATCCCGTGTCTCTGTGTGCTTTATTTACCGCAGGATTTCTAGTGGCACTTTGAGTAGGAGGCTAGCAGTTTACTGGCAATGCGCCGACTCTCACAGCTTTGCCAAAGATAAGAAATTCTGCAAATCTGTGTGTTCAAGAGACTTCCCAAAAGGAAAAACAATCTAAAAGAAAACAAACTGTGGGTGGATTCAGTTGAATAGAAAGTGACAAGGTTTCCCCCTGCACAGTCAGCACTGACCTGATCAAAGACATAAACAGCATCTGAGTAGGAACAGCCTGAGCTCTGTGTGTTTAAATCAGTGGACAAACTGATGGCTGCCTGCCCTCCTGAGGCACTCATCCACACAATAATTCCCTAAAGACAAGGTTAGAAATTTACATATTAGGGTTAATCAACCATAGACAGTAATTCACTTTCCCTTGCTGTCTTCCTGGTCCCTAGAAGACTGCAAATAAATACAATCTAGCTGTCTGTGTGAGGAGATGAGACACCTGGTAATACTTTAATCGCAGCTGAATCACATGAATTACTCATCATACACCAAAATAATTTTTCAGTTTGCATAGTCTCACTATAAGGCCCGAGAACCTACATATAGCAAATAAAAATAGTGGCACTACTCAGAACAGGCAGTCTCTGTTAAGACTGTCAGATGGTAAGAGATGATGTACAGGAAGGAGAGAAGAGTGTGATGGTTTTATTGGATCTATTCCGCTAAATCTGAGTGAGATCTGTGTCTTCATCAGGCAGGAAACCCCAGCCTAAGGTGCTTGTCTTAAAAACAAATGTGTCCTCATTTACAGGGATAATGGAACATTAGTTTAATTTTACAACTATGACGACAGATCAAAGTTAAAGGTGTGGTTCACTCGTTTATTGAATACATTTGCAGTGTTCTCTAGTGTAAATCAATGCCTTATGGGTCATTCAAAAAAGAAAAAAGCTATGATGCTCCTGTTCTGAGATGCAGAATTCTGCTGGTGGTGGGCTGAAAACAGCCGGATTGCTCATTATTATTAATGATAAGCACACACCTCGCTTCTGATTGGTTAATAGAACACATTCAGACATGTTGCAAAGACAATCACCAACACTCTTCTTAAAAAAGCCTTCCCATGGGCAGGCGCGAGCCAAGATGGGCGAGGCTATGAATGCAAATTCACAGAGTGACACAGAAATGTGGGGATTTTCAAATCCTAGCACTTAACCATCTATTTTCTATCAGAATGTGATGAAAATAGAAGACTGTTTTCATGTTAGCCTGAAAAACTACAATTGACCAGTTGTAATCAGAATAATAATTTAAAAAAAAATTTTTTAGTCAGCCACATCTTTGAAGAAGATTAGAATACGGCAGAATAAAAACTGTTTGGGTAAGGTGACATTTTTATAAATAAAGATGTGTTATCCTATTTGTGGCAAAACCTTTATGATTTTTCAGATAAAAAATAGGAGAAGTCAAATGAAGACATCGTATTTTGCTCTGTGTTGTCTGACTGGAGGTGGACTTTTCCTCTCAGTGCGCCTTTGGTGCGATCACTTGGTAAACAGCACCTTCTGAATAGGAGCGCATCACCGCTGCCGAGAAACGACTGGAGCACTGCAGCAGCATCAGGCCTGCGGAGCCACAGGAAGCGTGTCATCTCCAGACTGCTCGTTCTTTAATGATCCCCACTGCTGCTGATGAGACCCGACATAATCCGGACCTGCCCAGAATGCGCCAATTACGTGCAAAAGACGTCTCATCGCTCGTGCGTACTCGGGGCTACATATTGTGTTAAACCAGTCAGCTGACTAAAACCGGATTTCTTAATGATGGTTGTTGCTCCGGCTGCTGCTGGATGCCTCGTGGAGCGGGATTATTTTGATTAGAAGATCTCAGCAGAGCTCCCTCCTCCCTGCATCAGTTCTCCTCAGTAGCACACACGGAAGCTCACTCTGGAGTTGTTTGTTTGCAGCAACGTTGTAAACAAACGAGGAGCTGTTCAGATGAAATCAGCCTCGCTGCTACATCCCGGTTGAAGGCAAGTGCTTTTCTCTCCATCTTCACCAGCTCGTGGTACGCTCTAGTTTTATTCCCCCCTTTAAAAAAACAGAATGGTGCAATGCAACGCGTCCACAGCTCTGACACAAATGGGCAAGGGCATTGCAGAATGGCACGACGTGGTTATTTGCATGATTTTTGCGTGTTGCGCCTTTTTTCCCCCTTTGGACTTTCTTGTGTATCAGAGCGTGTTATGCAGATAAGGAAATGGCGAGGAGGAGATACGGGCATGAAAATCAATGATATGTCTTAGGAGCTGCGTGCACATGCGTTAGCGCGAGTCCCCTGTCTGCTTGTGTGTTTTATAGACGCGCAAAGCTGCAGGGAAACTTTAATGCAAGTGAGGACAGATTTAGATTAGGGAGTTTATTTCCACACTACCGTTATTGTCTCTTGTTTTGGTTTTTCACGATTATTTGTCTTTTGTGCTTTAGTGTGTGTATTGTGCTCATTTCATTTCATCTTATCTTATAGCCTTCAATGTTTTATACTTCTGTGAATTGACAAAGAGTCCGGAATAAAGCAGACACATACAAGTAGGACTAAACAGGGACATTTCCATAATGACTTTAGGGACTTAATTTATCCAGTCAGTTTTAGTTACTTAAATTTTATTTATTTATTTATTTATTTGCATATTTCACTAAATTTCTCAGGAAATACTGAACAGGAACTTGCAGGAAATTTTCATTGGATGTTCGTTTACATCTAGTTCATGTTTAGTCACACATTACAGCTAAATGATGAATACAATTTTGACTCAAAACGGGTTTGAACGTGGAAAATGTAATTTTATGGAGCGATCTAAAACCTACTGCAGCCTTCCACTATAGGAAGCAATATAATTTTGTCTTAAATGTGTGGTTGGCTGAAAAAAATATTTAGAATGTTTTTTTTTCTAATTATGATCGGTCACTGTGAGTTTTTCATGCAGGCTGAACATGAAAATAGTCTCTTACACCTACAACATTAGCTCCTGATAGAAAATAGATGGCAAAGTCCTCACAAATCTACGTCACACTGTGCATTAGCATTCATGGACTCATCGATCTTGACTCACGACAGGGAGGCCTGTTGTTGTTGAACGTCCAGCAAATAGCAGAGAACTTCTTGGCTAGTTTAAGCTAACATTAGCATTAGCAACCTCACCACATAGCAGAAGCTCCTCCAGGCTTGTGTCATTTGTGGAGATACAACATCCATGTTGCAAGTCAATGGTAGAGTCGTGTTGCTGCTATCCAATCTGGGGCGAGATGTCCAAATATCAGGAAATGAGACTCCAAAACATGCCGTCTGAAGCTCAGCTATGATGTGTGCAACTTTTAGGTCCAAGAAATGGTACACTAGTATATTTCCTCCCCCCAAGAATAACTTACAAGAGTTTCATTCCTACTAGAGACCACTGCAAATGAATTGGTTAAATGAGTAATCCACTCCTTTAAATGTTTCTGAAGTTCCTCTAGTTCTGCGTGTTAGTGTTTACAACACAAACACCACGTGTTAGAAAGTCATGTAAGATCTTGAGATCTATTATCTAGCTTTTTGTCATTTACGGGATCCATGGGACAAGTTGTTGCAGTCCATCTTAAAAACTGTTCTCATTTAATAATTTTAACAAAGAGCCCATAGGTTGATTAAATCTTCATTGGAAAATCTAAGTGTCTTTTTATTGTATGTTGTTTTAAATGTGTTGTTTTGGGGGGCATTGGCCCTCTTGAGTTTGCTTTAATCCAAAAGGCTTTCCCAGTTCTGACGGTGGGTTCAGCATGAATGTTCCATCAAAGACACACAAACCTGAAACTCCTTACTCTTGATCACAACCAAAGACATCTTTTGAAAATAAGTTACCTTAAAAATAAACCAAAGCCTCCTAGGATTTAGGTTGCAGTGTCTGTCCCCTGTCTAAATCATCTTTCTGTTTTACTTTTTCAGCCTTCAATCAGCAATGTGCTTGGGAATCCCTCAGCTGCTTCTCCGTGCTCTTTTTTTGAACATGGGCTCATAGCAAACCTCTCCGGGATTCAGCACAACTTTCAGCATGTTGCTGCCTTCCTCCAGGTCAGGTGATCACCTGCTGGAAACATTACCTCACTGGAATAAGAGTCAGAGATGGGCCATATTTCTGTCTCTCTGGCTGGCGTTCCTCTGGCTACCAGAGACAGCAGGATTTACACTAAACTGCCATAAAATGTGCATCTGCGCCTCAAATATAGTTAGCTGCTCCAAGATGAATCTGTCCGTTGTCCCAACTGGTCTGCCACACTACACCACGGTACTGGATCTCAGCTACAATGAGATAGTTCTGCTCCGATCAGAGTGGACCTCGGTCAAGCTTCCCAATCTCCATAACCTCTTGCTCAACCACAATAATCTGCATTTCCTCTCATCAGAGGCGTTCACATATGTGAAGCACCTGCGATACTTAGACCTGTCCTCCAACAAACTGCAGATGCTAGACGAGTTCACTTTTGAGCCCTTGGTCAACCTGGAGATCCTCCTGCTTTACAATAATCAGATTTCACAGATTGACCGCTCGGCCTTCATTACCATGATCAACCTTCAGAAGCTGTACCTTAGCCAGAACATGATCTCCCGTTTTCCCGTGGAGCTGATCAAGGAGAGATCCCGCCTGGAGAAGCTCACCCTCTTGGATGTGTCCTCCAACAAAATCAAGGTTTTGCCCATTGATGAGCTCCGGACACTACCCGCCTGGATTAAAAACGGCCTCTACTTCCACAACAACTCTTTGCTGTGTCACTGTGATCTGTACACCCTCCTAGCTCACTGGGAAATCCGAAAACTAAACCCTGTTTTGGACTTTAAAGACGACCACACGTGTATTCTGCCTGGTCCACAGAAAACCCAAGTAGGTGTTTTTGATCTCAGTGGTGAAAGCATGAACTGCAGCACATTCAAGGAGGAAGCTGAAGAGACTTATCTGGAGCAAACAGTACACCTTAAGTGTGACACCAGACGCAGGAACATGGTGAAGACGTGGCTGTTGCCTGGGAACGTGTTGGTTTCTCATGGAAGCAACCAGTCAGCAACGGTCGAACCAGATGGAAACCTAAAGATAAGTCCGGTCCGGTCCGAGGACTCTGGAACCTACACATGCTTTGCTATGAGTGAGAACTTTAACGAGACCATCTATGTGGTGTTGAAGGTGCACAACTTCACCATGCATGGGTCTGGGGAGACGTTAAACACAGCTTACACCACCTTAGTAGGCTGCTTGGCAAGTGTGGTGCTGGTGCTGATGTACCTTTACCTGACGCCATGCCGCTGTTTCTGCTGCCCTAACAAGGGTAAGACTCGGGGTGAGGACAGCATCCACTCCTCGATGCTCAGCGTCACTCCAACCCATGAGGACCCAGCGCTTAAAGCCGAGCTGAACAGGCACGTGGCGTTCATGGACTCCAAAGACTCGCAGGGCCAGAATGGCAAGCTGAATCCCAACGGGGATGAGGATGAGGACGATCAGGATGCAGAAGCTGGTTCTCTAATGAAGGGGAAGAGAAAGAAATCAGTAGCAGAGTCCATTAGCTCTGTCTTCTCAGACACTCCCATGGTTGTTTGAGATGAGAGAACGGATGCAGCGTGACTTGCTGCAAATGTGAGCCATTATTTATTTAACGTAAACTCTGACTGTGACCTTGTGTGGGAAGCACACTGGACAGATGTCCGTCTGCAGTTTCTGGCAAGTGGACCCTGATATCACAAAGGGATTTCAAAACAAGAGCTGTCTTCTTGTCAAAAAAGGACACAAAGCAGGACTTTTCCAGCATTTTAATTTGTAGCAATTACTACTCATACTGTGAAGGGGCGGCAGCGTCAGAGGACAGTGGAAACAGAGAATCTTATGAGAGAAACTGGTATGTAGTTATCAGCATTCAGGAAGTGTGAGACTTGAAAAAGATTTGCAGATTGAAAATGGATTTTGAGGAAAACCGGTCACATCTGATTTAACTTCAACCCCTTGGTAGACTGATAATTATATTTATTACCTAGGATTAGAACAGACTGTTGTATCTTAGAGTGTAGATACTTTTGCCTCTCCTCTGTCAGAGCAGACATGGGGACTGAATATAAGCTCTGAATATAAGAGACGTTCACCTTGAGTTATATAAAGTAAAGCAGCATGCCATAAGGACCCCATTATATGAGATTCTTGGCTGATATTTGTGATTAAGGCAAGGGAAATAGGAACTTCTCCTATCTCTAACATATAAAGATGCTAACCAGTTCCTTTTTGTCTACTATTTAACTCATGGAACCAAACGCAGGCTCAAAATTCATTAATTTGAACTCTCATTTATGCATATAGCTAGAGTTAGGGTTGGGGTTTGCAGCCTGGCACAAGTAGAATATGTGAACATTCTCCACCAGATACACAGAAGGTGTGAAGAAGTATTTTGTTTGGACTGATTATCAACATATTGTCTGAATTGTGTATACAGACAAGTGCCAGAGTCTTTACAAGGACAAATTGGGCTCTGGCTCATGTCCACTGAGGCGCCACTTGCTGTTAAATCTGCCTCTTGGCCAAGTAATGTAATCTCTTTCTGTCACCAGGGTGTTAAACTCTTAGCTACAGTGCAAAAAGCTCAAAGATACAGAAAAGATGCATCTTTTTTTCACAGTTTGAATAAAAAACTCATATTCAGACACCATAGATAAGGAGTGACGTTCAGTTTGAGATCATGCTTGTTGGATGGTTCACAGCGTCACACTTGCTTTTAGAAGATAATGCGTTCTATTTTAGCAGGAAAACATTAGAGCAGGGCTATTCAATTCTTGGCCTCGAGGGCACGTTTTAGCTTTAACCCTGCTTCAACACACCTGATTTCAATCAGCAGGTGATTAACAGGCTTCTGCGGGGCCTGATGAGCTGCTGCACAGGTGATTCAACCACTGAATCAAATGTGTTGGAGCAGAGAAACCACTAAAATGTGCTGGATGCCTGGAATTTAATAGCCCTGCATTAGTCTGAGTAATCTTAAAAACCTTAATGGTATCTTGTTGGAATAAGCTTATAAATAATAATGATAAGACTGTCCATTACTGATAAGAAAGCCGCTTTCAGCATTGTAGCCTCTGACAGGAAATTTGGAGCAACATGCGAAATGATATTTTTTTATGGTTCTTTGTATCAATACTGTAGAACTAACTGACCATGCAAGACGCCTGGTGTGCTGTGCATATTCTAATCACAATGTTCAAACAAGAGCACCTTGGCATAAGCCATTAAACTGTGCGGTGTTCGTATCACAATACAACAAGTCCGCCCTGACGTAAATGCTTATTGCACTTTTTGATAGGAGGTAGCTTCTCTTTGCTTTTCTTGTCTGTGACTGTCTGAGCTGGAGAGGATTGATGTGTTACCGTGAGTCACGGCGACACAAAGGCATTTTCTCTGGCTCCGTGTATACCGACAGCAACCGGTTCAGCCCAGATGTGTTCACTTTTGTTTGCGTTACTCTGTCACCACGAAGCCGCACTTCTTAAGTTCAAAAGCCATCATTCAGCCAGGAAATAAATGCGATGCCCTTTAAGCAGCCTGCAATTTGTTGATGAGGGAAACGCCTGAAGCTTTTATTGAACATTTTCACTCCAAATGAGTCACACAGTTGGAAAGTACTTCACAATCTGTGAATATGATATGCCTTCGATCAAAAGTTTCAAGAAACACACAAAAAAAATCTCAAAATTTTCAATTAATCAGCTTTAAAGGCAAATTTACACATTTCTAGGTGCAATGGGGGGGGGGGGGGGGGGGTACGCTATAAAGATGTGGTGGAAAATTCACAACCGTTGTTGTGCACCACAGCATCTCCTGTGTGGGTGGGAAAAGGAAGTCACACTTGTCAGAGAGGTGGAGTGTGAATCATTTCACTCTGTCACACATCGAAATACCAGGTGGGGAAACAGACAGCAGCAAAAAATACCAAGAGACATTTAAATAAAGCCGCATTTAGCTTCATTAGCACGCACGATTGCATTTGTCCATGAACATGTCTTGTGTAAAAGGGGTTTTAGCTTTACAGGTTTATTATATGTGCAAGTCCCCTCATCAGATTTCAAGCTGTGGTCAGCTGAAGTCACAGACGGTGTCTGTGGAGCAGCACGGTAAATTGTGTGGAGGTGTGTTTTCCTGCAAGAGCACAGTGTCCATCTTACTAAATCTGCTGTGGCTGCAGTGGTCTCCTCTGTGTTGTCACTCACTGATACATGTTGTTGTTCTGTATAGTGATGAATTATTGCAAAGATCCTAACATAGAGGAAAAGACTGGCTTAGTTCCCTCCAAAATGATCCAGCGTTCCTGTATATCTACATTAACAATATATATATATAAATGTATTGATACTCACTGTGTTTAGTACTGATTAACTGTTCTACCAGTGTACTGACTGTATTCTTGTATTCTAATATTGTTCATTTTGCATTTTGTCCACTTCTGTGCTTCAGTCAGTTGTTTAAACATCCAAGTCTTATTATAAATGTCATTTTTAAGCAGGGTGGGCCGGGGCCTGCTTTATTTATAGGAAGAACATGGTTGAACGGTGAATATGAATGAAAAACTGCATGCATAGAGACAGTTTTTAAACAAATGAGGATGATGCATTCCAAATGGCAGTGAGTACCGTATGTAGCCTAAGCCGCTGGATCTATTCAGTCAGTATTAGATGTTGATCTAAAAGCCATAAGCAATGTAAACACAGTGCTTTACCAGATTGTTATGTCAGATTGGAGAAATGAGAGATCTCTTGTGAGTTCCATAAGTTTGTATTGCTTCATTAGACTTCTCAGGATTATGTCAGTTCTACTGTAAATGAATAAATTCAGATGTATCAGATCTGTGATTTTTAGATCAGTGCTCTTTGCCCCCCATTCTGCTCTAAAAGAGAAGACAACCAGGCACTCTTGGTTCTCCAGCTATATTTCCACTCAAAGCTATTAGAGAAGCAACCATGAGGTGATAAGGTGAAAAAGAAAATGCTTTCTGCTTTCACAGAGAGCTACCATGTGTGTCCACGGGACACAAAGGGAGTTTTAAAAGCAGAGCGTTTATTGGCTATAACTTCAAGGCTGAGACTCTCGGTCGTTGCTGTAAAACAGAAAGGCCTCACGGCTTAAGAATTATGGCTTTGCATGGTATGCTTAAAGGCTTCTGTGGCTGCATGATGGGTGCAAACCACTAGGCATTAAGTACAAATATATACGATCCTTTTAACAAATAAAAACAAAGTAATGTTTGTGTTGTCTTGATTTTTATTGCCTTAAATCAGCACTATCTTAATAGTATTGTGCAATGATGACAACTAGAAATACAGAAATGTGTTAAACTCGTTTCCCCATAACATGTTTCTTTCAAATCTATTTATTTTACTACTTTACCTGTTTTACAGATTTGAATAATTTGAATCTTCATGTGATTTTAGAGTTAATTTATGAGTTACTGCCATCTTGTGGCACATGAAGGCAGTGCAATACAGTAATCATAACAAATGGCTTTGCAAATGTTTATGCAATGGAAAAAGGTAAAAGGCAATAGATAGGTGTATGTTTTTGATAGATATGATTCTGACTAATACCCATGCACCTGCTCTGTGCACGCTCCAGACACAGGAGGAACAAGTTCAAATGGCCTGTGTTAGGAAATGGGACTCTTCATTTAGTAGTTTGGAACAATTAAAATTATAAAAAACTGGAGAATTAGAAGGTGACTCATAACTACATAACACTTAAACTCACCTGAGAGACATGAATGCGTGCATCAAAAATAACATAGCAACTTGTTTATTTTTGACCAGTTTATTTGAGGTTGTTTGTTAGCAAGCTAATTACAACTGCTTTAATACAATAACGGAGAACCATTAGTCAAATATTAAAAATTAAACAATATAAAGACTAAGCCAAACTCTTGTCTGTTTTTTATAATTAATACAGATATGGCTCATTAACACACACCTATAGTTTTTTTATTGAATATTTCACATCAGGACATTAGTGTGTAGGTTTATCAAAAGGCTTTTATTATTTTATTTTTTTGTAAATCTGTGACTAAATCATGCACACTATTTTGACAAAGGTACATCCACCAGAACCAGAATCCAGTCTCACTTGTGAGATTTTAACTGAACCACCAGGTAGATCTAGGAAAAAAAAAACAACAAAAAAACACAAGCACACCGCAGAGCTCTGTAAAGTTGTTGATCTACAAAGTAAAGATAAAGCAGAACTAGTAGAATTAAGGAGTGTTTTCATAAGTAAAATAATGTCCCTTATCAAAAAGAGCAGGTCAAGAGAAAGCAATAAGAGGATGAAAAGCATGCAATGAGTAAAGAGCTGCTTAAAAGGTACTTGGAAAAAAAGACAAAACCTAGCTGAGGAAACATCACTGTAACACTCAAATACTCAAAATAATACATTTGTTTGGCAACAACTCACTGAAGTAAAGGAGCATTCACCATTAACTGCTGTCCTAAACTACAAATATAACAGTAACATGAGATAATGAAAACTTATTACAGTAAAGAGAGAATCAAACTGCTTTCATAAAAATAATCTCACATCAACAGTTGGACTTCATAATGTTTGAGCCCTGGGCTAAAGTTATTTTCTACTTCTGTTCCAATTCCAAACACACACGTTTTCAATAGATCAGTTACCTTTTAATAGCCCTGAGTTTTTATAGAGGATCGGTGGCAGAAAAGATCAGTAGAAACATCCCCCAAAAACAAAAATGCAGTTCTAGTGAAAGGGGGCACATTAAATTTGATAGAAAGCTGTTAGAATTTTACCATGAACCTTAAGGAGAAATGTCTTCATTAAACTCAACACATTATACGACGTTAGCGTGTGTACGACGTTAGCATTCATTAGGATAGTTTGGACAGCTTTAATTTCACGTCTGCTCTCCAAACATTTAAAGCCAAAAACAGCTTCTCCTGAAAAACTAAACTTCAGTCAAGGTCAAAAAAATAATAACATAACGGCATTCGCTTTTAGACGTTAAACAATCCTGAGATGAGGAAGCCATGTGGTTATGAGGGCGGAGCTCCCCCCTCCACGTTGGCTGGCTGGTTGGCTGATTTGTGGAAAGGCGTTTCTTTGTAAATAAACCAACAGTTGCCCCCCCACAGGACGAGGTTAAGGAAACCAAACACCTATGGAAAAAAAAAACACGAGAGAGAATTAAAACCAAAACAAGAGCTGCACACACACCCACCCCCCCCCCCAAGCGACTCACCACAGAGGCATTTAATCGGCCCATGTGAGGCGTGGCTCCAGGGGTGCACGTGTTGGCGTCCTTGCAAGCCGTAACCATAGTGATAACATGTGAAGGACTGGTGGCCCACTTCACATCTGTCAAACCTCTGGCCCAAGCAGAGGAAGACACCAACCACAGGAAGGCAAAGGCTGCAGTCAGCAACAGATCCTTACCAAACACAAAACCATAAAAATCAGCGTAAAAATCAACACTCTAAAGCGATGCTAATGAAGCATACATGGACACTTTTTACTGCACAAAATCGAATACGTTAACTTAAAAACTAATTATGGAATGAATGTGGAACAGCACCTTTCAGTGACATCTAACAACACCAACTGTAAAGGATTGTAGAAAATATTTATAATTCATTCCACGATTCAAATAAAACATGTTTATAATTAATGCAGGAAAATAGCTCTAGGAAGGTTGTTGGAGCCGTGTTTTTAGTAAGCAACAGATTCACGTTGTTGTTGTGACCTCACTTCATCGCAATCACATGCATTATGAACTCATGACAACAATATATCTTTGTATTATTTTACAGCCGTGCAACCTAGAGAAGGTTTTTAATAATTAGAGAATAGCTTTACTTTACATGTGGACTGTCTGGAAAAGCCACACCCTTCCCAGTAATTCCCTCTCACAGCTCTGTTACATGCTCTCTCGCTGACCTCAAGTCAGATTCCAACCTTCTGAAAGTCGTCAGCTGACACAACGTTTACTCCACTAAAGCACATGATCTATATCACCTGTAAGAATCCAAGTAATAAAGAATCAACATACCAAGATGGGTCCACGATTTGATTCTCTGTACAGGTGCTGATAACCCAGGTACAGGACTAGTGTGGCGATGGTGTAGAGGAAGGCTAACACTCCGACAGCGACATAAAACTGGGCACTGGATGCGTAGTCTCCAACCAAGTGGTAAACGGTGCTGGTTTTGTTGTCGGTACAGTCAGGGACCATATAGGTGTGATCCAATAACCTAAACAAACAGAGGGAAGATATTTCAGAAAGGCTCTATGTGTAAGAGACACACCTGCTGTTTACACACACCTGAACGGGTAGTTGAAGTTTATTGGTACTTCTTCGTTTGAACCTCCATGGCATGCGATAGTGAAACTGGTTGAGCCAACATAACCTCCAGTTGTGGCGAAGGCAAATATGGAAAACAGCTGTAAAAAGAGAGGGGAGATAAGAGGAAACACAGTTGGCCAACAAGGATGTTCAAGAGTGCTGATCAAACACATGTTCTTCTGACAGGAAAGCTTAATCACAAACTTCCACAAAAATGTTGTGCAGAATTATGTTTTACCGCATAAAACCTCAGAATAAAAGCAAGGAGGTGTAGAAATTAAAAGTTTGCATTCAATAAACATGCTGTTAACACAAGTCTGAAACACATTTATTTACTGTTCAGCTACATTTCACGACAGGGAGGGTGTTGGAGTTACAATAGCGAGTTTTCTCCTATGGTGGCTGAAAGAGGTCACGAGACCAACAGTTTACCCGATCTGTGGGGAGCGTTTTGCTACCAGCGACGAACAGATACAGAACACCAAAGAGAAAGCAAAGAGATTAAAGTTCACCCATTCTAGTAAACGGATGAAGGCCAAAGGCTCCTTCAGTGGTCCAAAATCGAGACTGAATCCGGAGGTCAGCACTTTCTGAAGAAAAACAGAAAAGAGAAGAAAAATAAAACAGATCGCTGTAGGGCTACATGAAGAGGTAGGCGTGTTAGCTAAAAAACGAAATCCTCCATTAACGCCTAAAAACCCGCTGCGACTTTTCATGTCTACGAAGCATACCTGGGCCACGGAGTCCATCGTTTGTTCTCAGAAAATACTAAAGCGAGTTTGACAGCTACACTTTTTTTTAATTTTCTTTTTCGTTTACAGCTGTTCCTGGGGATTCTCGGTCTTGTCAAACTTTTCTACAACTCAAGCGATTTGCAACTGCTGCCACGTGACGTCACGTGACCACAGACGTTGCGACGTGGAGGAGCTGGGAGGAGGGGTAGTGGGTAGTAGCTGCCGGTGTTGTGCCATAAATCGACTCGCTGCCAAAAAACCGATTTGACACCGCGGGATCGCGCACGGTTAGGGTAATTGCATTTCTAGACGAAATTCCCCAGGATTTCGCCCTAAAACTCAGCATGTCTAGCAATATGGACATTCAGAAAGCAGAGATAACCTCTTCCGGTACTTAAACAGATGTTTATCGTGGATATTAGTTTTTTCCAGTTCGGAAGTTGTTTTAAGTGTTGATATTTGTCTTAAACGTTCACAATGAGCATATCTTAATCCTTTTTGCAATATTTGCGATTGAAAGATGGTTTGTGGTAAGAACTGGCTTTCTTTCTGTTACAGCCTTGATACTAAAAAACAAATAAACAATGTAAAATGGCGCCCTGTATTGAATGTAAACGTTGTATAAATGTAAATAAACAATTCTCCAGCAATTTGATTTTTTCCCCCTTCCTTTCTTTAGTCCACTTGACATGGAGCCACAGTTTAGTTTGGGGCACATTTTTACTTGAAAAATAGTATTTAAACTGATCAAGCTTTGGCTTTAATGACACTGTGTAGGTTACTATCTATTCATTACTTTGCTCTATTTAAAAGAAACAAGATAAAAGCACTTTAGCACATAAAATTAAGATTGTCACTTGTCAAATAGAGACTACACCCTCCTGTTTACCTATAAGAAAGGCCTCAAAATATCTTTAAATTCTTGATTGATGATTTAATTGTAGACAACTAAAATGGCATTTTACTTGCCAAAAAGTGACTGAATCGCTCAGATTTTCATGGAGGCTAAAATTGACCAAATAAGGGTTTTATGTATTATCTGTTGATGTTACTGTACTCATACTGTCTATAAACACCTCAAAAATGGCAACAAATGATAATTTCCCTTGCCAAAACTTTATCACAGAGTTCTGGTCACCTGTAAAGGGTTAAATTGACCTAAATATTACAGGACACTCAGGACAGGAAGCTGTTTCAGTGGGAAGCGTGCTGGGCTGTGAGAACGTTGAAGCTGGGAATACTCAGCAAGTAAAAAACAAGCAGAGGGCCTGGAGACGCGCAGTCACCTGATCTTTCTGCATGACGGCCTCTTCAGCAGCTTGAACACTTCTGCGTGTCTGAGCCTCTGCAACATCTTCCTCCTGATTACAAAGACAAATATCTAAACAGGTGCATCATTTTATTCATAATGGTTCCCATAGCAATGCCCAAACTCTGCTTTTACATCCATAAAGGAATGGTGTACATTTACGCCGAACATCAGTGTGTGATCCAAAATAAACACTCATTTATCCACTAAAAACTCGCTGCTAATAAACGAGGAAACGCGTTTCACTCACTCTCCTGCGTATGTTCTCTTGGAAAATGCTGCACAGTGTGGTCATCTTGTCCACTTGGTTGGTGGCTGTTAGGAGTTGAGCCTGTCTATAGACGTACAGAAAGGAAACGCCAACGTTAAAGAACGCCGCATCCCGGGCCGTGCAACCGACAGAAACAATTTAACAGAAAACGAACAAAAAAAATGGTCACGTCGTTTTGAAAGCAGGCTTGTGATTTGTTGGGTCGCCATGTTAGCATGGACACAAGGACACCACGTGGAAGAACCAACAGATGCCAGATGCCAACAGAGAGTTTGGGGCAATATGGCACCAGTGTCATCGGCTTGCCGTCTGCCAGTGAGGATGGGTGGCTTCTCATCGAGCTTCTCACATCTGCCATGGGGGATACCGCAGGGTTCAATACTGGGACCCTTGCTGTTTTCAATTAATATTCTCCCATTGGGTGACATTTTACGAAAGTTTGAAAATGGATTCCATCTCTATGCCGAAGACTGCCAGTTGTACTTGCCTCTAGATGGCGCCGGTGATCACACAATACATTTTTTTTTTGGATTGTCTGGCAGAAATTATGATATGGTTGGCAGAAAACTTCCTGTGTCTCAATGGGGAAAAAACAGAGGCACTGTTGTTTGATCCGAGCGGACATGTTGATTTTTCCAATGTAGACTGCGGTGAACTGAACTCCTATTTGGGTGTTTCAGCAGGCGTGAAGATGGACAGTGCATTCTGCATGGATGCTAATGTGGGTACTGTAGTATCCGCTTCATTTTATCATTTAAGACGTTTGGCTAAAGTAAAGCAGTTTTTATCTAGACGTGACCTTGAAACTGTTGTTCATGCTTTTATTACCTCATGACTCGACTATTGCAATTCCGTTTTATTTGGTGTAAGTAAGGGTACTGTAACCCGGCTGCAGCTTGTCCAGAATGCTGCAGCAAGATTCTTGGACAACAAAAGGAAGCATGAACACGTGACACCCATTTTGGCTGCTCTCCACCGGTTACCTGTTGATTTTTGAATTCGTTTTAAACTTCTTTTAATGGTGTTTAAGGCACTGAGTAGTGTGGCTTCAACCTATTTGACGGAGTTGCTGCAGCCATATGTTCCGGCCCGGTCACTCCGCTCTGAGAACCAGCTGCTACATGTGGCTCCTAAGGCCAGGTTGAAGTTGAGAGGGGACAGGGCGTTCTCTGTTGCGGGTCCGAAACTGTGCAACGCACTGCCCCTAACTATTAGGGACTCTCCATCAGTAGCAGTTTTTAAAATGAGGCTCAAAACCTACTTTTATGATCTGGCTTTTAATTCTGTGGGTTAGCAATTGTTAATGTTTTATATTTTGTAATTCTTATTTGTGATTTTAATTATGTCTGTGGCGCTATATGTTTTATTGTTTTGTTCTTTTGTTGTACAGCACCTTGGTGGCATGCTCATGCCTGTAAGGTGCTTTATAAATAAAGGCTGAGTTGAGTTGAGAAGGAGGGCAACAATAGGATTTCTAGAATTCAGATTTTTCTGTCTCTCCAACTGTCCGTTGATGTAGAGTCATGCTTCAGAACATTTTAAGTTCAATGTTTTACTAATATGTCTATTTTAAGGAGCAAAAATGAAAAATAACACCACAAATGCGTGTTGGGCACCAGTGTTTGATGTGTCTCCCTTGTCCAACACTTCTGATTCAGTGGAGACATGACGGACAGCAGACATCAGGGATCAGGACTGGATTTCACTTGTTTAAAGTAATTAAGGGACTACAGTGAAGCTCCTGTGCTTCAAACACCAACCGAGCCTTTAAAAGACAGCTTTAGGGGGTCGATCACTCGTTTAATCAATACATTTGCAGCTGACTCTAGAAGCAATGCCTTGTAAGTTATATTTTCTGGAGAAAAAAGTCTGATATGCCTGTTTCAGGAAGAACAAATCAGCTGGAGAAGAAAATGGCTTCAGACGGCAGGATTTGGATTGTATTTATCGATATGTGGACATCTCTCCTCTGATTGGCTAACAGCAACACGACTCTAGCACTGGTCTCTGTTTGCTCTGCAATGCTGATGTCTTATCTCCACGACTAACACAAGCCTGGAGGAGTTCTGCTGTGTGGTGGAGTTGCTAATGCTAATGGTTAGCTTATACAAGCCAAGACATTCCCTCCTGTTTCCTGTACGCTAAACCAACAACAGTCACCCCCCCCCCCCCCCACCCCCCCACCCCCACCCCCCCGGATAAGCGGACCTGACCCCGGATAAACGGACGGAAATGGACAGATGGATGGCTCATGTCAGTGTTAGCTCATTGTTAGCGCTATTAGAGTTGTTAACGACCTTTTTAATTCCAATTTCAACCAGTAGGGTGGAGGAGCAGGAAACTCCTCAGTGTGACGTAGATCTGTCAGGATTTTCTAATCCTAGAGTTTCACCGTATGTTTTCCATCAGAAGCTAATGCAGGAGATAGGTGTAGGAGACCATTTTCATGTTCAGCCTGCATGAAACACTCAGAGGGACCCGTGAGAATCAGAAATAATCATAAATATGTTTGTCCTTGTTTCACACCTTTAATGAGCTAACGTGATGTTACGGATTAGGTTTGCATCGCCGTGTCCTCAGCTGCAGCAGCTACTCGTAGCTTGTATTACCTGAGTTGACAGTGCAGCTCCACGATTTCTCTGCTCTGCTCCGCCACCGTCGTCAGGATCTGCTGGTTCGTCTGTGTGTGGCAGGAAAGACAGGAGTGCCATTTTTGAGGCGTGGCTCCAAACATGAAGTCCAAACCAACTTTTGATCAAAACTTTTACTGTAAAACTTTGTCCCTTCAGAACCCCCCACCCCCGCCCGAGGAGCCGGTGTCAGTCAGTCGCTGCTACAAAGTTAATTGTTCTCACAAGCAGGCAGTGAAGAAAGCTGCTAGCGAGGAGAGAGCCCAATGCTTAGCCACACATTAAAAATGCATTAGAGAGATATAGTATCACTGCACTCCTCACACCAAATGTGTGTGTATGTTTTATGTATACCCACAGCAGGGAAGTCAGGTCAGCTCCTCTTAAACACAGCCTGAGAGGTGTGATTTTAAAGTACCTGTGAGTTCAGGTGACACGGTAGTGGACGGCAGCAAAAGAAAAAAGCCCAGATAGATGGAGGATTACCGGGTAAGCTGACAGTCCAATGTACCCGAGCACCAGAGCGATTCAGAAACCGACTCACTCACTCACTCACAAGATTCATTATTAGAGCAGGGTTCGTTTTAGAAAACAGCAAAGCATTTCCATCTCACGGCTAATTGGAAGGCTGCGATTTAACACACTTCTATTTAAGCATTACTTACAGACTCTAGATTCTGATTGGTCATTAGGAGTTCGGAATTTTGCTTTTGGGACTGGTCAAGCTGATCCTGCAATGCAAAAAACAGGAAGAGTTAACCGCTATAGCAATTACCTCCTAATTATCTGGGACCAAACTACTCTAATTAACCCCGCTGCTCTGATAAGGTCTCCGCCTAGTGGTGAAGACCTTCTGGAGGCAGAAGGCAGAAGTTTGGACAAACCTAAAGTGTGAATAAATGGACAAGTTTGATACTTTCTATATTTGTGCAGTAAGTAATGTGCAAACTCTGCAACTTGGTGTTGAAACCTTGAGCTGCTGCATCTCAGAGACGGTCTTCTGGTGGACCTGATATAGCCGGTCCAGCTCCTCAGTTGTCAATTCAAACAGCTCCATGGCCTGCTTCTGAACACACACACACACACACACACACACACACACACACACACACACACACATACAACATGTCTCACTTTCTGTTGCTATGGAAGGTAAAGCTGGTTGAAAGTTTTCAGGAAATACTTTGAAAAAAGCCAGAGTGGCAGATTACCGCTGCTTTCAGCGGAACGCCGAGATCAAAAGTAAACGGACCGTCTAACTTCCAGTCATGATGAATGCTCACAGCATCCACCTGCATCCGACCCCAGCTCTGATGCAGCGCAGTAAAGACTCAGAGGCAATTTAAGAATCCACAAGGAGTGCTTCAGACATGCAGCATCACCTTATCTGCTGATATATTTAATATCATGGTTGCGTTTTTATTTTTTATCATTTAATGCAGCAACAGATTTTTTATATACAGATTTTATGTGGATTTGTTTGTTTCTCAGTCCATTAAATAGATCCTTTAGTCATATTTTAATACATTTGCAGCGGTCTCTAGAAGAAATGAATGTCTTGAAAGTCGTACTCTGGAGGAAAAAAGCTCCAGTGCATCTGTTTCAGGACCTAGTGAGCCACATCAGCGCTTTAGACGGCAGGTTTTGGACACTTACTTTCTGATATTTGGACATCTCTCCTCTGATTGGCTAACAACAGCACGACTCTACCATTGACTCGGTTTGCTCCTCAACGTTAATGCTTTATCTCCACAAATAACCAAAGCCTGGGAGAGCTCTGCTGTGTGGTGAAGTTGCTAAAGCTAACAGTTAGCTTCTACTAATTAAGATATTCTCTACGGTTTCCTGGACGCTTAACCAACATCAGCCTTCCCCGTCATGAGTCCAGATGGGTGAGTCCATGAATGTTAAGTGACAGTGTGATGTAGATCTGTCAGGATTTTCTAATCCTAGAGTTTCACCGCCTGTTTTCTTTCAGAAGCTGATGCAGGAGATAGGTGTAGGAGACGATTTTCATGTTCAGCCTACATGAAAAACTCAGAGTGACTGATTACAATGAAAAATAATAATAAAAACATTTTTGAAGTACCACTTTAAAGTGTTAAACTGAAATCCAGATGATTTATAAGTGTTCTTTTAGACACGCAGTAAAAAAAATCAGCAGCTGGTTGAAATCCGCTAACATTTAGCATGATTTTAAACTCCCAATCTGGTCTGAGCATCAGTACAAATAATAATAACAAAATGAATAAAAAAACAAAATGTATTTTAGACCTTTAAAAAGTAAATATGAATATAGTTACTAGGAATGTTAATCTTAGAGCAACTCATGATTTGATTCGATTCCGATTATTGCGGTGCCGATTCGATTCAGAATCGATTCTCAATCTCAATTTAAATCAATTCACAATCAGTATTAACAGAGAGTCAGCTCCAGGATGAACTACTTTGTTGTACAAGTTAGTTAAAGTTATGGGACATTTTTATTTGACTTTAAACTGGTCATGCTCCAATAATGCAAATTTATAATATAAAATAAAGTGATTCTAAAACTGTAAACAGAAGCAATCTTTTGACCAAAAGGCAACATTTATTTTTGCTTACCTTGTAAAATATAACAAATCTGTAGTTACCTAACAGTAGCTTTGAAAGTAATACGGTCAAATACTTTTCAAGTATGTGTAGAAACAAGTTACATGAGTAATCCTGAGTACTCATTTATCAACTTAGAAAATAAATATGAGAATATCTCAAATTTCTGAGTATGGAAAAAAATTACATTCAAGTGCCCTCTTATCAGCAGATTCAAAGATAAATCATCTCAATTTATGGGACCATACAAGTAAATGGAGTACTGACTCTAACAAAGATCAAAAAAGTACATCTCAAACCTGTAACATGCCAAATATTTGAGTTCTTGGAATCGATTCTGAACCTTTGTGAATCGATTCTGTATCTTTATAAGAATCCCGATTCAGACTTGAATCGGTTTTTTTCAGCACCTCTAATAGTTACGCTGTGCACCTAAAATGAATGAAAGAAAAAAAAATCAACTATTCTTCTGGTCTGCAAACTGATTAGGTAAATTAGGGGAAATAAGTGATGTTTTGCTAATTATTTTCCAACTAATTTAGTTTATTGTGATGACTTAAAAGCACTAGTGAACCTAGTTTTTATTTTTGTTTAAATGTCTGTAAGTCACTTCTGTCCTTGTGTGTAAAAAAGATTATAACAGAAAATATTTGCTAAGTGAAACTGACCTGAAACATTACATGCACATTAATAACTGAATGACCCACACTTGTGTAGCACCATTCAGCGTCAGAGGACTCCAAAACGTTTAACATTATAGTGCATCATTCATCCATTCACGCACACATTCACACGCTGCTAATGATGAGCTATGATATAGCCGGAGTGCACTGACAGAGGCAAGGCTGCCGAGTACCACCAGCAGGTGAGATAGGTTAAGCGTCTCGCCCAAGACCACAACAGCAGCATTCTCTGGTGGGAGCCGGGATCAGTCCTGCACCTCTCTGATTACTGTCAACCCGCTCTACCTGAGCTACTGCTGTCTCTGTGACTGAATGCTTCATCTAGAAGAGCTTTAACACCAAGACTAGATGTGCACGGACCTGCTGAACTTGCTGCTGGAGGCTTTCGATGTTGACACTCTCTGCTCCTGACGTCCCGGGCAGAGAGTGGAGCCCGTCAGACTCCCTCAGCTCTGATTGCACCCTGCAGAAGGTGGAAGGCATTAGCAGATGGCACTCCGTTTGTTTTCAAATGTTACATAAAACATCCTCAGTGTCAGTGCCTTGTTAACAGTAAGAACCAACACACTGGAAGGTTGGTGAAATATTTAACTGATGCATAGCTGCACGGGTGAAACTTTCTTTTTACCTTTTGTTTCCCTTCGCAACATTCTCCACCTTCAGGTTGAGGTCTGCCATCACCTCTTTTTAAATGAGCACAGAGGCACCAAGCGTCTTCAGAAACTTTACCTGGAGACAAAGAGATCTCTCAAGAGGCTTTCATCATCAGCTTTTTAATCAATTGTCCTTGCCTGCTCCTTCAGAGTGCACCCCTTAAAAAGCCAAACTGACTCATAAGGCCATGAGTTTGAACGCTCCGGTAAAAACTAAACCCTACCTGGTATTTCTGCAGCTGTTCAGTCATCTCATCCATGTGCCGATGTATTTTCGGCACATGGATGAGATGTGGATCATTAATGGCTCCTCTTCTGCTAGAAGAGGAGCCATTAAACTGTAACATAAGAGGAACACTGATGTCACAAAAGTGTGTCATATGTTTTACACGTAAAACGATTGAGATAATAACTCATCCAACCCTCTATCTGAGAGCCAGGGTGCAGCAAACACTGCCTGCTGTGTCTCCTCCACCTCTTGATCAAAAAAACCTGCATTCATCCAATTCTACTAAACACTCCCATCTGCTGAGTCATCAAAACAAAACAGAGATAGATGAGATCATTGCTCATCATTCATATCCATGATAAGTCTGTTTATTGAACTCATTTGAGTTCATAGTAAGTTTTATGCATACTTGCTAAGAAACACGTGAAAATTCAACATTCATTTCCAGTTTGGTTTCACGTTTTGTCCTCCGTTCCTCTCAGTCATGTCAAAAGCATTAAACCATAATCCTAGTTTATCCTGCTCTTATATGATTCATAGAGTACTGTGTGTTCTCTCCTCACTTCACCCACTCACTGTGACACTGTGAGTGACATGAAGCCAGCATGTCCCGTTCAACCCCTCAACTCTCATACACCCCAGGTCTCCTTTTAGCAGCCAGAACAGGATCAAACCAAAATGACTTCAGTACAAAACATTTAAAATGGGGACAGAGACTCTACGGTGGCAAAGAGACACATGATGGATGATAAATGACCCGCACTTGTATACCGCCTTTCTGAGTCTGAGGACTCCAGTGTATCAGTCATCCACATAACACACATTCACACCCTGGTGGTGATGAGCTACGTTGTAGCCACAGCTGTCCTGGGGCACACTGACAGAGGCAATATTTAGATTATAAGATGGATAATATTCTATTTGCATTGAATATGGCTGCATCAGATTCTGATATAATCTAAGATCCGATTCAGCCTTTTTAAGAGCTAACTGATGTTTACATTTTGTCCATGCTGATACTGGCTGAGAGCAGAATTTAACCTGCCGACAGAAAATAGATCAAAACGTTAAAAGTATTTAGATTTTTTCCCCCAGAATTACAAATTTCACAGATTTCAGATGCCATCAAAGATGTAATTTGCCCGTTTGATCTGACCTTGATCGCATGGAAATTCCACTTTCACGTTTACGATCTAATGGGCTCGACACACGGGAGGCGACATCGCCTCTCCTCCATTCATTTTCAATGAGACATGCGCGACAAAGCGATAATTGCGGGTCTCCCTCCTACCAAGCGAAACGCGAAAAACGTGCGTGTGAAAGTTTGCACTCGTGCACGTGCGACCCAGCGACGCGATCCCAGAAAGTTGAAACATTTTCAACTTTTCATCGCTGTCGCTCGGGAGAGGACCAATCAGCGGAGGTTTCATTCACTGACCAATGAGCGGGCAGGATGCTCCGTACACCTCCGAGCAAACATGGAGAAGTTGATTATTATTATGTTTATATAGTAAAATCAGAAGTAAGATTTCACATAACTCTAGCAGCACCTTGTGAAACATCATATCTACCGCTTTATTAACTCTGAACCGCTTAAATCACCTTAATTCCCTCCAACCTGACACAGCCAAACAAAACAACGGAAGTTTCGATTTCGCCATGGAACAGAACGCGTAGACGGGCTTGCCGCTGGCCGCTGCCGCAGATCGCCTCCCGTGTGACAGGTAATAAAAGCGACAGCGACAAATTTCGCTGATCGCGGTCGTTTGTCGCCTCCCGTGTGTCGAGCCCATAAGTGTGAGCAGGGTGGAGAAACGAGGGCCCGGGCGGGATTTCGATCCCCAGACTCCCAGGTGAGAGTCATACGCTCTAACCAGTCAGCCAAAGGGACATCCCCTTGCCCAAGTAGCCAGGGCGCATGATCAATCGGGACACTGTGACAGGACACTCACACTGCTACATTTACAACAGGCTCCACTCTCAGGTCAACTCCACGCTCCAACAGCCTAGCTGAACTACTAGATTAATTGATTTTTAAAAAAGTTAAGAAGCTGAAATAGGTGAAAAGTAGGTTTCCGTCGACCATGTCGAAAAGAAAGAAAGCAACCGCTTCCAATGGTTTTTCGGCAAGAAAAAATGTGCTGTAAGTGCAGCCCTACAAAAAAGACTGATGGGCTCGACACTCATTTTCAATGAGACATGCGCGACAAAGCAATAATCGCGGGTCTCCTTCCTACTAAGCGAAACGCGAAAAACGTGCGTGTGAAATTTTGCGCTCGTGCACGTGTCGTGCACAGGCGACCCAGCAACGCGATCCCAGAACGTTGAAATGTTTTCAACTTTTCATCGCTGTCGCTCGGACGAGGACCAATCAACAGTCGTTTCACTCACTGACCAATGAGCGGACTGATGCTCCGTACATCTCCTGTATACATGTTGATGACATCTCCGAGCAAACACGGAGGAGACATTGATTATCATTGTTTTATTTAGTAAAATCAGAAATAATATTTCACAAAACTCTAGCAGCACCTTGTGAAACATCATATCTACCACTTTTTAAACTCTGAACCGCTTAAATAACCTTAATTCCCTCCAACCTGACACAGCCAAACAAAACAACGGGGTTCAATTTTGCCATGGAACGGAACGCGAAGACGGCTTTGCCGCTGGCCGTTGCCGCGGGTCGCCTCCCGTAATAACAATTCCGCTGATCGCGGTCGTTTGTCGCCAAACATATGTCAAGTTTTACCATTTTTGATATTGACTTACTTAGCAGTAGATAAAAGAGGACAATGTTTCTCTCATCTACTGGTAACAGTTAGCCAACAGCAATAACGGTTAAAAACGATGCACTTTATGCTAGATGACCAAACCTCTTTTTCCATGACTTTTTTGCTGTTCGTGTGCTGTTAGGGGGAAGATTTCATAGATTGATAAAATGTCTAGGTTTTCATAGTTTTTCAGAAGACCAACTTACAATACATAAATACGACAGCACAGCCCGGTGATATACTCACTATCTGCTCAAGTGGATGGTTGCAGTTGCAGTGTTGCCGACTGTTAATTTACATATCGATGACGTCATAACGCCACTTTGGCGTCCATTTTCCCCATAGCATCAGATAGATAGATAGATAGATAGATAGATAGATAGATAGATAGATAGAGAGAGAGAGAGAGAGAGAGAGAGAGAGAGAGAGAGAGATAGATAGATAGATAGATAGATAGATAGACAGATAGATAGATAGATAGATAGATAGATAGGACTAAAAGGGAGGAAAATGATAACTATGTTATGTGTTAAAGTTATTACAGGAGGGTGTAGTCTCTATTTGACAAGTGACAATCTTAATTTTATGTGCTAAAGTGCTTTTATCTTGTTACTTTTAAAGCAAAGTAATGAATAGATAGTAACCTACACAGTGTCATTTAAGCCAAAGCTTGATCAGTTTAAATACTATTTTTCAAGTAAAAATGTGCCCCAAACTAGTTAACTGTGGCTCCATATCAAGTGGACTAAAGAAAGGAAAGGGAAAAAAATCAAATCGCTGGAGAAATGTTTATTTACATTTATACAACGTTTACATCCAATACAGGGCGCCATTTTACATTGTTTATTTATTTTTTAGTATCAAGGCTGTAACATAAAGAAAGCCAGTTCTTACCACAAACCATCTTTCAATCGCCAGTATTGCAAAAAGGATTAATATATCCTCATTGTGAAAGTTTAAGACAAATAGCAACACTTAAACAACTTCCGAACTGGAAAAACTAATATCCGCGATAAACATCTAAGTACTGGAAGAGGTTATCTCTGCTTTCTGAATGTCCATGTTGCTAGATATGCTGAGTTTTAGGGCGAAATCCTGGGGAATTTCGTCTAGAAATGCAATTACCCCAACCGTGCGCGATCCCGCGGTGGCTAATCACATTTTGGCAGCGAGTCGATTTATGGCACAACACCTGTTAGAAGTGAACAATAAAGATTTTCATGTACTGAAATATTTTCAATCAAGATACAGTTAACAGGGCCCCCAAATCGACTTCCTACTCTAAATTTTTATTTTATTTTATATTAACTTGTTTTTTTCTCCAGAACTATTTTATTTATTATTTTTAAAATGTTTTAGAACTGTAAAAATAAACTAAAAAAAATAACATGTAAAAAACACCTTAATTTTGGGGGAAAAGACTTAAGCATCATAAGTATTAAGTTTGTTAACTGTGTAGCATCAGTCACATGCTTATCTGAGGATGTAACTTGACCTCATCAACCCACATCTGTAAAAGAGGATGTATTTTGCAAATTAAACCTAAGTGGAATATGCTAATTCAAACTGCAACAAGTAAATTGTCATGTGCCCTCTGATGAATAATTGCTGCATGGACGATTTATAAGTTCAGGTGCAGGTGCAATGAGTAGCTTCTTATTTCTTCATAACCATGTGGAAAGGCCACATATATGTCGATGGGAAACACGCAGAAAATATGTTAGTTTATTTTAAAAACGTCAAATTACTCGCACGTATCCGCCAAAAGAAACTTAATGAAGCTGTGAGGCATTGCAGATTGCAGCTCATTCCTGTATTACCCATGTCCTAGCTTCAATTCGGTGCTTATAGTGACACCTGCTGGTGAAGTAAAACTTTGACAGACAATGCTGCAGAAAGGTTATTCTCTTATACAGCTCAGTGAGAGGATTCAGCATTTGAGTAACTGCAGGAAAATATTTCCTCAAATTCAGTTAACATTTTACATGCAAAGATCTTCCATAAGCAAGTGTGTGCCCTCCGAATGGCATCATTAGTCACAGAATGGATTTAATGAAGATATTGTGAAAATGCATTAGATGTCATGCATAAGTGTTTGTCCTGTGTGTCTCTGTGTTGCCCTGCGATGGACTGGCACTCTGTCCAGGGTGTACCCCGCCTGATTTCCCACTGACCGCTGGAGATAGGCACCAGCTCCCCCTGCGACCCTACGTGGACAAGCGGGTTCAGAAAATGGATGGATGGATGGATGGATGGCATTAGAGGTCAACCCCAAGTATTCCTTCAGAAGTCTAAGTGCTTAGTCATAATTCTGTCTGTGTTATTAATACACAAAGATTGTTTTAAAGTATTTTTCTTGACTGAAGCAATATGTGTATGCTGATGCAACTTTGTCTATAGTTACAAGGATAAATAAAGAACTTCTCTTCAGTTTTTACAACCTAAAATATAGAGCAAACATGATATATTTAGCACATGAAAACATTAGCATTCCATTCTCACCATTCCACAGTTGGTGATGATTATCAGACCGTGTAACACAAAGAAGGTGTGGCCCAAGTCTTGATTTGAATTTGCAAAACACCTTAGAATCAATCACAGAGACCATAAATGTGACATGGTTGTAAACCAAGTTAAATATAAATGTTTTAATATTTTTTAGGAAGTGTATATCAATTGTTCTTTTCACATCTGCGAGACATCAAACGTTTGCACACAAACACATAAACAGTGTGAAGCCAGAACCATTTTTGGTTTTGTAACTTGGGCGTAAATGATTGTTTTGTACCAAACAAACTGTTTTTGAACTTGGCATGAACACAGATTAGAGAAAAACAAGAGGTCATAGCCCACATGATTACACCTCTTTACCCATAAAGCAAGCTCAGCTGGTTTTTATTCCTTCATGATTCCCACAAAAATATTCAGCCACAGCATCCTTCTTGTACCCAGGACAAAATATTTGTCCAGTTCCTCAACGAGGAAATCAAAATCTTTAACATATTTTGAGTCTTTGTTAAACTGGTGGTCGTAAAGAAAACTACTTTTCACACCAGAAGAGGGCAACGTATGGGCTTTTGCCACTTTGAGGAAAGACATTTTATCATAATTTTATGACTTCATCGGGAATGGTGAGGATTTTACATCCAGAGCTGTGAAGTCTGTGTGGCATCACAGGAGGATAAAATGAGTGGACAACAGCAGTATGAAGTTATAAGTGTGGACTTCATGTTCCTTCCATTAGAATTCATCCAGAAACATCTTTTTCCATTTTATTTACTAGAAAAGTCGTTTCTTGAATTTATACACAGACCCAGTGATTTGGGATTTTTTTGGGGTGCATTTTGAAGGAAAAAAGAGTCATTTTGTTCTCCAGCTTTTGTTTGTTAACTGGGCTGCCTGCTGGAATTCCTTCAGCAGAGGAATGCAGCTCCTCAGCCCCGACTGGTTATCAGGAGCAAATAAAAGCATCATGATATATAAGTAAAACATGCATCTGACAATTAATAGTCAAAGGTACATCTGACTGAAGTTAGAAGTTATGAACAGGACTTGAGGGGGTTTTGAACCAATAAAAAAAACCTTTTCAGAACCACAGACTTTCTTCTCTTGTTGCAGGACTTGATAGACCAGTTTTGCCACCCCTAGAGAAAGCAAACACGACTCACCAGCAGCATAAACTTGGATGACAAAGGCAACACTGTAAGTGGTAGAGGAAAAGGAAAAATAAAACTTTCTTAAAATGAAGCTACACTGTTCAAAGATGGGAAAAATCAGTCAAAGCAAGCCAGTTTTGGGGATTGTTTAATATTTTAGTTTGCACGAAAGGTTTTCTTGGTTTTGTTACACATTTTGATCCTCTCTAGAGAGTTAATTTAGTTAAAACGAGTGCGGCAGGATATAAAAAAATTAAAACATTTCCAAATATATTTGCACACTAAGATCACATAACACATTTTACTCTCTGAGAAAGTTTTTGGTGCAAATATGACTGAACAAGTTGTTAAACAAACCAACAACTGAAAATTTACTATTAATATTTTTTAAATATTAATACCTGCCACAATTATTTTGAGTAAGGTAAGAAGAAAGAGTTAATTTAATGTGATTGCTAATGTGTTTTTTGAATAGGACACACACGTGCGCGCGCGCACACACGTTATATTTCTACAAAACTGCGAGCAGCATGCAGTTTTTTTCCCTTTTACATTCCATTTAATTTAATGGTTGTTGATTCTTCATTAAAACAAATGTAATGATTTGTTTAAAAAGTTCTCAGAGTTACAATTGTACAAAAAAGGAAATCATGTAATTTTATGTTTTTTTTGTGAAGAATGAAGAAAAATGCATTAAAACCCGCATATAAGGCACAAATGTCTCCATGTGTCATCTAGAAAAGACCAAATAAATTGTTAAATAAGCTAAACTGTAATTTTATTACTACTGTGACTGTTAATGAGATCATCACCTTTGAATTAAATGATGTTTGGTTCCATTTCTAAACAAAAAAGTGAAAGTTTCGGGCTCATAGTATTACTCAACCTACCATGATGGTCTTTGACAGCTAATTTAAATCCACTCTCTTTTTCACGCCCTCTTTATCATCTGACCAATAGAATAGGCGAAAAGGAGGACGCGTTGTAGGAGCAGCCAATCACAGCGAGCCTGCCCTAAAGAAGAAGCTCCACTACCTCCAGACACCATTTCTATCATCGTTATTGTTTGACATGTTTTCTCAGAAGTAGCTGGGCTTGTTGTCAAACACAGCAGGTGATTGGGCTTTTTAAAAGAATACTTAGCAGTGTTTTTATTTTTCATGACGTTTTATTTGCTTTCAGAGCTCAAGCTGTCAGGTGGACTATTGATGTCATCCGCTGTGGAGCTGCAGCGACCTTCAGTTTAGGTCTACTAGCATAAACAAAGACTCGTTTTAGGTGGTTTGTTTTTGCTCAGTTCCCCTTCTAGCTTCTGTTGTTTAGCACTTTTTGGCTGTGGGGAGGATGGGACCCTTGCTGTATGGTCTCCTGCTGGTTTCTGTCTGCACTTTCTCAACCGGCTTGGATTTCCAGCGGGAGCTGAAGCCGCTCGGTCTGTCGGTTTTTGAGAGACGCACCGAAAGAGCTGCAAAAATCGTCAAGAGGTCCCTGCCGTCGTCGTGGCTGGCTGCTTCGCCGAACCACAAGATACAGCGAAGGAGCTCCGACTCGGGAGAGTCGTGTCAGCAGCATCAGGGATATAAACCCAAGTTAGATGACAACACCCACAGTGTAAGTTACCAACTCGGCTCCTGTTTCAAGCCGCAAGTCTGACAATTAAACAGGAGGAGGAGGATGCGCAGGTGCAGGCCAAACCTGCTAATCACCGATCGAGGTGGCTGTTTACCTAGCAGGGCTTTCACAGCTGCTCCAAATCCTCAAAAAGACCAACATTTTATTTAAAGGTCTGCAACAGAAATCATTTTAGCTGAATAACATTTACGAGACAAGGAAGTGAAATATTTGTTTTAAGCATTTATAACCCTGTATGTAATGGGGTCTTTATTTTGTTCAAATAGAGAAAATTAAACTTGGTATTTAATTTAATAAAACAAAAGTAGGAGTCAAACAAACGAAACAACAAGCTTGTTGACAAGACTTCACACTTTGCATTGCTTTTCTCCTCAGATCTAGAGCAGTGATGTAGTTAAACTGTAACTATGCAAGGACACATCAGTCAACTTTTCGAAGTTTATGATCCATTTCTGTGTTTTTCCATCTATTCTTTATGGATCCATCCCAGTTTCTTTCTTCCTAGACTCAGAGGAAAACAGATTTAACAGGAAAATTGGTTAAACGAGTTCCATGTGACTGCCACGGTGGTGTTAATTTCCTAACTCAAAGCTGTATCTCCCCAATAGTCAAACCAGGAAGCAGGAAGTCATGTTAGGACCAGGTTAATATACAGGGAGTACTGTTTTTTTGGACACATCTATTTACAGTTTCTAAAATGTTGCACAACTAAAACTTTCCACTAAACAAAGGAGGCAAACTTTATTAGAACCCCGTGCTGCTCATTTGCCTAGCTCCTCAGCCATGTGATCAACTTTGCATTGCAGCACCAGAAATCTCAGGTTGAAGAAGTTCCTAGAATCTCCTTTTCCCTGAGGTTGCTCCTGCAGGTCCCCTAGCACCAGATCTGCTTACAGGATGAGCTGCTGTGAACAATATGTGTGAGGACTGATGGGACACAAGATATTAAAGACTTTGGACAGTCAGCAGATTGCTCTCAGACAGGAAAAGCAGACATATTTTTCAAAAATCTAAAATCCCTCTTGATAAAATGTGTTTATGTTTAGAATTTTGCTGAAGGCAACTAGTTTGAATCGTTATCTGATTGTTTGGCTGTCAGCTAGTTTCGCTTTGTATCACTTGTCATGTCTAATTTTACACTGAAAGATGGGAAACGTACTGCCAAGTAAAGCAAAATCACACTGTTTTGATTCAGAAACGTGTCACAGATGTCAACAGCAGTTCATATACTTGTAGTTTTTTTTCTGTTCAGTTTAAGTTCGACGACCTGAGTGGCTCTGTGTCACTGGCCTGGGTTGGAGATGGCACAGGGGTGAGTAGATCAAACATGGCTGCTTTAGTCATAGCAGAGGTCACACCATCATCAACTTTAATGCACATTACATCTATAAATTAATTTTTTATTTGCAGGTTATCCTGGCTTTGACAACTTTTCAGGTGCCTTTATTCATGTTGAGGTTTGGACAGTCCAGACTCTACCGTAGGTATGTATCACCTGCTGGGGTAAGGATGCACATGGTATCAAGCTGCCTCTCATTTTGTTTTAACCTCGTGTCTGCCAGTGAGAACTACGGGAAGTCATTTAAGGACGTGACGGACTTGATCAACAATACCTTCATCAGAGCAGAGTTTGGTATCGCGATCAGTCCTGATAATTCAGGCAAGGTGAGTCACACTTCAAGTATTTTACGGAGTTTTACTTCCTTCTGATGCCGTTAGATAAAAAAAAACTCCTTTGATTTTAGGTGATCCTGACAGCGGAGGTGTCTGGAGTCCAGGAGGCTCAGATTTTTGTCTCTGATGATTCTGGGAAAAGTTTCCGTCGCCAGAGTTTGCCTTTGAACCCCATGATGCAGATTTCATACAATCCTGAGACGTCCAATGTGTTGATGGCGCTCAGCATCAGTGTAAGTACTGAAGTCAGTCTTATGATGTTATAATGAACATGAAACATCAGCGTGTGCGTGGTCAAATCTGGGATGATATACCTCAAATCAAAACAAGATGCTCCATCTCAGGTTTTTAGAAACGTACTTTCTTGTTTTAAATAGTTTAATGTGCATTCTCCAAATTAGATATTTTTAAAGGTGCCTTCAAAGAAAAGTAAAAAAGTGTAAAATCTTGAATATCTAAAAAAACTAACTTCATTTATCTTTAAACTTTTATTCTAACAGCAATATTTAACATATTTGGACATTTCTGCAGCTAAAACTCACATTTTTTAAAGAGTAAAAATGCTCAGTGGTTACCTTTATATATATTTTTGAATGATCATTCAGAATCACACCATACGGTAAAATACTACTAAACAATCTTTTTCTTGTGTTTTCACCTATTTAACTTGTAATGTTTGTGTTTTTCAGCTTTTATTTTCTAAAATGTGTTTCTGCCCATTTAAATTATTTGGATTCTTGGAAAAAAATTATTTCAGGACTTTTTATAAAATAATTTTATTTTATTCAAGTTATATTCATGTTAACAACTTTTTAGAACAACCTTCATGGAAACACCTGATTTGTATGTAAGATTTATATTTTAATCTTTTTTGTAGTTTTTATTTTATTATATCAAATGATATCGTGAGTAAAATGTGGCAGAAGAGTTTCAGATAAAGGTTAAAATCCACATGAAATAGCTTCACTAGTTCATGAGGCTTTGTGTATGTGTGTTTTCTGTCTGTGTACTTATTAACATGACAGAGACATTTATGAGCAGGAGTGGATACGTCTGTGTAAACCTTGTAGAGTAGTTTTTATTAGCATACACTACTGAGTTAATTTTTGTCTCTGTTCTCAGAATGATCTATGGATTTCTCAAGACTTTGGCAGCACCTGGAAGAAGATCCACAGCATGGTGTGTCTGATGAAATGGTGAGCAGCTGGAAAAAAACGATGCCACCTCAGGTCCTTGGTGACAGAAATTCTGTCTTCTGTGAGACGTGGAAACAAAAATCTTACCTTTTTTAAAAGTTTAATTCTGTAGAACAGCTTGTTGGTAACAGTAGCCTGCAGCAGGGAACTGTAGTTCCTTCTTTGTCCATTGGTTCATGTTGAGAGGTGCTAAATAAAACCACACACCGTGTGTGTGTGTGTGTGTGGAGATCTTGTTTATCACATTTACAAGGTATTTCTATCTCATGTTGCAGGAAACATCTTTCTGTTGTGTTTGAAAGTGTGTGTGTGGGAAAGTAGTCTATCATCATTTATTATCACTGCCCTAGGATAGACTCACCTGAGCAACCTGCAGGAAATTGATTCAGTTTAATGGAGTTAAAATATTTATTTGAGAAATTCTCACATGTGATGGTTCGTACCTTTGAGGCTTTTAATAGGCCCTTCACCGAGAAACCAATTTTTACTTATTTTTGAAAAGGATCAGTCACTCTCAGTTAAACAAGCAGACTGAATGTGAAAATAGTCTCCTACTCCTTTCTCCTGCATTAGCTTCTTATAGAAAATAGATGGTGAAACTCTAGGATTTTTAAAGTGTGACAAATCTACGTTACACTGTCACTTAACATTCATGGACTCGCCCATCTTGACTCGTGAGGGGGAAGGCTGTTGTTGGTTTAGTGTCCAGCAAACCACAGAGAACGTCTCGACTAGTGGAAGCTAACAGTTAGCATTAGACCCCCCCCCCCCACCACCACCACCACCACACGGCAGAACTTCTTCAGGCTTGTGTTATTTGTAGAGTTAAAACATCAATGTTGCAGAGCAGTGCTGTTATTCAATCCAAGGCGAGATGTTCAAATATCAGGAAAAAGACCCAACGTCCTGCCGTCTTAAGCAACTTTCTTCTCTGATCTGGCAATCCTCTAGTTCCTGAAACGGGTGCACCGGAGCTTTCCCCCCCAGAGTACGACTTACAATTCATTCCTACTGGAGACCTCTACAAATGTTTTAAAAATGTTAGTGAAGGACATATTTAATGTTATAATAGCAGGGAGATTGAGGAAATCCTCGTTCTTCTGAAGCAGCAGTTTCCAGATTTCTCTGTCTTTTTCCGAGACAATGTTAAAGGTTTAAATCAATAAATAAATAAATAAGTGAAATAATCATTTATTTCACTCACAAGTTTACTCTCAAATCCTTTCTTCTTCTCTTTTTAGGGGAAGGAATAGCACCATCTTTTTTACAGCCAGCCAAAATGGGTCCTGCAGTAAGTACCAGAACCCATACATGTACACCCTCGCCTTAATCGAGGCGATTACCTCCATGCTTTTGTTTGTGTAGGTGAAACTGATGAAATAATAATAAATAAATATAACGGTTCTGTTAAAACTTTCACATTTTACTGTGAATTTTTTTTTAAGGAAAACTAAGCTATACAAGCTTTGAGGCTCTTTGAGCTGTAATGGTGAACTGCATTTTAGGAAAAGAACAGTCAAACATGGTGGTAGTATTATCATGTTTTATTTTTTTTTCAGGTGATCGAGGAATGTTAGACCTGAAGAGGACAACAGACTACGGTCACACTATTAAGACTGTAGCCAGTAAGATCTACTCGTTTGGTCTGGGCGGACGTTTCCTCTTCGCCTCGGTAATGACGGGCAAGGTTAGTATGAAGGAACTGGAGTCGGTACGGTACAGCTAAACAAAGAGAAGGCATGTTGAAATTAGGCCTACAGGGTTACAGTTTGCTGGTTGGTGCATCTGACCTTAAAGGAAAAGAGAAGTTGCCCCATTACCATGCAGATAACATGTCGCTTTAGGAAATGTGATGCTGTTGCCTATTAACTGGTGAGTAGGAAGTTGGTAGAGTTCTCTGTACTGCAAGCACGCAGACTTTTAAAGTAATCATGATCCGAATTGTTCTTGCTTGCTTTTGGCTGCTTCTCAGTTACACCAACCAAGAATGTTTAATTTAGGTCCCTCAACTCTGACTTAAGAATGATTTAGGAGTAAAAGGCTCCTAAACATGTTGAAAAGAAAAATCCCAATGCAGTGTGACAGACAGGAAATATGATTTTAGGGACCATCGGGTAGATTCTCTAAGCAGATGACCAGATAAAGAATGGTACATCCCTTACATCCGGTTTCAGGTCTTTGCTGTTTCTTTCTTACAGACACGACTTTCAGAGACGTCTTCTGCTTTAGATATAATGTTCATTCCATTTTTGGTTCTTTTTTAAACACGGGTAAGGTTTTTCTTTACCTTGCTGACGGTTTTGTTTGCGAACAAAACCGTCTATCTGTGTTTAAAGAAAGAACCAAAAATGGAATTCGAAGACAAACGCAGCAAGAACGAACAAAAGATATAATATTCATGTTTGACATTTCTTTATTTCTCCTCCACTTGTTTACTTTCCTTATGTTAAGCAGAACATGCTTTCATGGTCAGATTTAAGGACTGAAAAGAATAAGAAGATGACGATTTTATATAGAGCTTCTCAAGATAAAAATCACGAGATGCTTCACAAAAACAAACAAAATTTAAGTATAAAAAGATTTCAAAAGTGATTAAAAATATGTTTGAGATGATTGATCAAAAACACTTCCTGAATGTCTAGAAGCTCAGTACACAAGACAGCCCTACTCCCAACTGTTTTTATTCTCACTCCCTCTCCATATTTCAATGTTCCATTCCTTTTTGCTGTACAGGGAACACTGAGGGCCATCCAGGTGTCGGTGGACCACGGTGAGAGTTGGAACGAGGCCCAGCTGCCGCCTGTTGGTCACGAGCAGTTCTACTCCATCCTAGCAGCGAACGATGATATGGTCTTCATGCACGTCGATGAGCCTGGAGGTCAGTCTCTGCTGTAACTTATTTCTATTTACTCATCTGCTTAGGCTGATGGTGTTGATGCTCTTTGCAAGGTGTGTTTGCTTATGTAGGAAGTGGAAGGCAGAGCTAGCGAAAAGAGATTCTAATATGAAGTTAGTTTCAGGTTTCACTCATGCAAAGCTTCTTCTACAATAGTTTTTATAATAATAATAATGATGATGATGACTGAAACTCTGCATTATTATCCCCTTGAAACCTTTGGTGTTTCATACTTTTAAACCTACAGCAGAAAAAATGGTTTATTGTGGTATAACCCAGAAAACCTTGAGTGTTTTGGTTTACAGATACAGGATTCGGGACTATTTATGTATCAGATTACCGGGGCACGGTGTACTCCAAGTCCCTGGAACACCACCTTTACACCACCACTGGGGGAGACACGGACTTTACTAACGTCACCTCCCTACGGGGAGTTTTCATCACCAGTGTGCTGGCTGAAGGTACCTCTTTTTTGTTCTTGGATAAAGAAAACGCACCCACACATATAAGGTGTCTGTTACCTGCAGGCAGTAGGGTGTGAAGTAAATATTTAATTATTTGTTCAGTCTGGGATGTGTTGTCTGATGCTGTTTGGTCATTGCTGCTGTGCCGTGTAGATTACAGCATTTCATCTTCCTGTTAACTTGTTGAAGTTTGTTTTAAAGTTGCCGTATTCTGGTTTTGTGCCTCCAGATAACTCTGTTCAGTCTGTGGTGTCCTTCGATCAGGGAGGGGAGTGGGTTCCTCTGCAGAAACCGGCCAACGCAAAGTGTGATGCTACAGCCAAGGACCCAGAAAAGGTAAAACCAGGAGAATGGAATATTAAGCTGATGATATTTGGGTAGGGAACTACGTTTTGAAACAACTTGTGTTTGGACCTGCAGTGCAGTCTCCACATCCACGCCGCGTACAGCATCGCCATGAAGCTGAATGTCCCCGTGCTGCCTCTGTCTGAGCCAAACGCCGTGGGTCTCATTTTAGCTCACGGTAGTCATGCTAACAATATCATTTTTGTTTTAATAAAGATGGATTCTTTTGACCTGCTGACCATTTTCAAATGTTTCTACAGGCAGCGTTGGTGACGCCATCTCGGTGATGCGACCTGATGTGTATGTATCTGATGACGGTGGCTACACCTGGCTGAAAGCGCTCGATGGGCCTCATCACTACGCCATCCTGGACTCAGGAGGGCTGCTGGTGGCTGTGGAGAAGAGCAGCAATGACCTCATCAATCAGGTCAAGTAGGTTAACAGATTCTTGTTTCTGTGTGAAAGTCAAAGTCCTGATTTATCAATAAAACACAATTAAAAAGATGAGGTTAAAACCAAAGGCTGTTCAATAATAATATTTATGAAAAAAAGACAAACAATAAAAACTGATATAAAAGCCACTGAGGTAAAGAAGAAAACAATCTAAAACAGAAACCAAAAGATTATAACAACTACATTCAGTGATTCATAAACAGGAAGTGCAGATGTGTCTGATGTTAGAACTCCAAAATTCTAAATAATTGCCATCCCACCAGTTTCTGAGAGAACTGTGAACATCTTCAGTTTGCAGAAGTATCATTTACATCCCACAGGACTGATGAGCTAACCACTAGTGCAACACAGCCAGCTCTTACATGGCTCCTATTTCTAAAATGTCACATTGATTTATGTTGTATTATTTAAAAAATCTTAACATGACTTTTTTGCATTACACTCCTTTTCTACATAAATATTCTGAAATTCCTACTAGACTCGACCTTGGATGCACCAGAAGACCTACTCTTCAACTTGAAAACTCTTCAAGTTGTGAGTTATTTTTTAAGAGCAGGTTCACTGAGAAGCTATTTTATTTTAGAAAATGAGCCCTCACTCTGATTTTCAAACATAGGCTGAATGTGAAGATAGTCTCCTACCTCTAATTCCTGGATTAGCTTCTGATAGAAAAATAGTTGAAAAATGCTCGGTTCAGAAAAGCCTGACTGATCTACACCTCACTGTCACTGAGCATTTATGGACTCACCCATCTTGGCTCGCTACGGGGAAGGCTGAAACAGCAGAGAATGTCTCTACTAGTAGAAAATAACAGTTGGCATTAGCAACTCCACCACACAGCAGAACTCCTCCAGGCTTGTTTTATATGTGGATATAAAACAACAACATTGCAAAGTAAACTGAATCAGTGGTAGAGTTGCATTGCTGTTAGCCAATCAGAGGCAAGATTTCAACATATCAGGAAATAAGACTCCAAATACTGCCATCTGAGCCTACTTTCTCCTCCCACTGACTTCAGCGTCCTCCAACAAGCACACCTGAGCTCCCCCCCCCCCTCACAAAACATCTGATAATGCATTCATTCCTACAAGAGACCATTGCAAATGTATTAAAAATGAGTAAAGTTTACCTTTAAAATGGAAATTGTACACTTTAGTCAGTAACACTTCCTTTTACAGTCCCCTAATAACTAAGTACTTACATGGTAATTACATAGTTAAAGTGTATTATTGTGTAATCAAACCGTGTAATTGTAATAAAGTGCAATTATTGTTTAAAGCAGTATTTATTGGGAATGATTAATAAAAATAAAAACTAGCATTGAACCTGAGTTTCATGGTAATAACTGTTTAAGAACTCTGAAACATTAATACACTTTAATTTACTATGTGATGTAAGTACTTAGTAATTAGGGGACTGTACAAGGAAGCGTTACCCTTTAGTCCTAGCTGAGCTCAGACTAGTGAGCTCATCAGAAACTTTTCTTCTCCAAACAGAGGCCCTTTGGTAAGCCATCCACAATGAATAATATAGTAGCTATAACTTTTACACAAAAACACAAAAAAGTAATGAAAACGATCTCTTTAAGCTGCTCGAAGAGTTACAGAACCTGGAATGATTTTATTTTAAAGCTGCATGAAATTAAAAAAGTTGTTCATAGTTAACCAGTTTTATTCCAGATGTTTGTGCTAAAGGGTGAAATAAACAAAAGTTCTCAACTTTTCCAGCAATAGCACACAGTTCTGGTTGTTCAGTTTGGTTTGCCTCTGAAATAAATTCAGAGATCTCTAATATTTACGTTTTTTTTCTCGCAAAGTTGAGAGTGTTTGTGTCCGAGCTTCTCCAGGATGCTCCCACTGCAGAGTTTTCTGCAGACGTTGGTGTACTGCTGATCAGATCCTGCTGTACCTGTACTTGCTGATCTCAGAAATGACCAGAGCAGTTTAGATGCTGATGACGGCTGACTTAAGCAGAATAAAACTTCACTGTGATGCCTTACAGCTCAGCTCTGTGTTTGATCATTCTTCCATTTCCTGTCAGATTTTCCACTGATGAAGGACAGTGCTGGAGTGTGTATAACTTCACCAACGAGCCCATCTATTTCACCGGTCTGGCTTCAGAACCAGGAGCTCGCTCCATGAGTGTCAGCATCTGGGGCTACAGAGATGCCTACCTGGCTCAATACTGGGTCTCCTTCACCATTGACTTCAGGGAGCTTCTCACCAGAGACTGTAGGTTTCGAAAGGGAACATTTACATCTCATATGGATCGTTTCTAAGAGTCACTCATGTTTTCAGGTGAGGACAAGGATTATGTGGAGTGGCTGGCCCACTCTGATGACATCAGTGACCCGAATGATGGCTGCATGCTGGGTTACAAAGAGACGTTTCGGCGGCTCAGGAAAGACTCGGTCTGCTGGAACGGACGTGATTATTTGATCACCAAAAAGCCAGATCCATGTCCTTGCACCCTGGATGACTTCCTATGGTAAGACAATCCCTGGACAGGTGTTTTAAAATCTTTCGGTGGAGCTGATGTGGAGAATTTAGTATCTGCTTAGAAGTTTTAAATTATTTTTGTCCTAAATCACCATTTAAATGATTTAAAACTTACACCCAACAGCTCAGTTACTACTGTGACACTAGGAAATGTGGGTTTAGCCCTCTGAACTTGGTATTTTTGGACTCTTTGCAGTGACTTTGGGTACTACCGTAAAGAGAACAGCTCTGAGTGTGTGGAGCAGCCGGACCTAAAGGGTAAAGTGTTGGAGTTCTGTCTGCAGGGCAAAGAGGAGAAGCTGGTAACTACTGGGTAAGGATCCAGTAAATGCTTCTGAACACAAGTCATCAACAAATGACACAATAGATTATACCTTTTATCATTACCGCCCACTAACTCGAGTTGACCTGTGAATCCTGCTTCATAACTTTATTTTGGGGTGGTGACGAGAAACTGAGTCAGACTAACGGTTTGTATCAAAAGTAGAGATAATGTATTAACAGGAGGAAGTAAATGTCCGAGTAACCAGATCTAGGTGACAGTGAGTCCTTGATAATAAAGACTGACCATTAGGGTTAGTACATATTGATTTAAATAAACTTCAATAAGATAATCAATCATTTTGCAGGTATAGAAAAATTCCTGGAGATAAATGCGAAGGGGGAACAATGCCCACACGTAACGAGATCGACCTCAGAAAGAAATGCGTCAGTGACCTGGTGGACGTCCAGCTACTTAAGGTCCGTATCTCTGAAGAACCTAATCTGGACGTTCATTCAGGCTGTAATTGTTTCTCCTCATATTTTTTACAGTCAGACGGCCATGGATCCCGGTCTGCAGTCATCGTGACCACGGTCATCATCGTCATGCTGCTGAGCATCGCAGCAGGAGTGCTCTTTGTCAAGAAATACGTCTGTGGCGGCAGGTTGGTGCAGTACATGTTGGGTTTTCATTTTCATAGACTTTGACCAGACCTGATAGTTTTAATGTGCCCATCAGGTTTTTGGTACACAGATACTCAGTGCTGCAGCAGCACGTTGAGGATACAGCGACAGCAGAGATGGACGACCCGCTGGACAGCAACCACACTCAAAATGGAAAAATTGTGTTTCATGATGATTCTGATGAGGTACACTGGATTATTCTTTCCCCTACACACAAACCAGAGGCACAGTCACCACAGGTTTACTTTCCATGACCACTTGATGCTAAAAGCAGTCTAGTTTGTTGGGGGGCTGCTGTGTTTATTTATCGATTGGGGCCACCGTCCTACAGCTTTTTTATGCTTTCTGACTCCCATACACCTGATTAGAATCAATGGGAGGATTAACAGGGTTCTACAGAGCTAGAGGATGTTAATCAACCAATAAATCAGGTGTTTTGGAGCCAGAAAGCAATTCAAACATGCTGGATAATGGCTCTAGTTACATGACTGGACATCACTGCAATAAAGACGACCTTTAAGAATGAATATTAGGATGAAGTTTGTTTATTTTATTAAGTGTGTTTGGTAATTAATTTAATCTTATTTTAAAAAGTTGTTAGTCAGAAAAGAGCAAAAGTCAGTTTTTAGTTCTAGAGTGTCATCTAGGGCTGGGCCTAAAAATAAAATCTCCCATTCAATTTTTTTTTATTCGATTTACAATTTTTTTCCCGATTCTCTCCCCCTCAATTATTAAGAATAGCAATAAGGAAAAATGGAAGGCACCTTAAAGCCAATTTTATTTTTTATTTAATCACAAACAAGACAAATGTAACCCTAATTTCTGAGATAAATAATGAAGAAATGAACACCCTCTTGGAATAAAAGTGCCACGCTCCACGTCCGTCGCAGCAAACCCAAACCAGTTCCAAACAACGGATGATTTCATTCCTTTCTTGAGAACAAACTTCCCACTCCCACCGGTGTCCGTAGAGTCGCTTGCTGTTGCTGTTTCATGTGCATGCTGTGACGTTGTTGTCACGGTTATGTGAAACTAATGCTGCGGAATCTCCGGGGGGCCAAAAAGGCGTTATTACATAAAAATTCTATTTACATTTTTTTAAGTCGCCCGCAACAAAAAATTCAAATTAATTAATCAAATCGATTAATCGTCCTGGCCTAGTGTCACCTAACATTGGAATATGGTTTTAACTTGTCGACAAAACAGTTAACATAGTAAATGAAATAAAAGTTTTAAAAATGGTGACCTCCTCTGTTAAACGGAGCTGAATTCTGACCAGATTTATGGCACATGCTCAAGTTTGACGCTTCTTGAATTTAGTTGCAAGCCTAATCACATCCGGGTCACAGTAAAATTTCTGTTCTTTATAACGTTTTAGCGTGATCGCTGCCAGACCTGCCGATAATGTTAAAAAATGTACACAAGAGAATCCAGGCCACATTCAAGACATCACAATCAAATCCAGACAAAGGTTTTAAATTATGTCTCTACTTTCATAACTATGAAGGTCAATTTAAAACATTCTGCTTTGGGTTACAAAACTCCTGATGTTACCCTATCACTCTGATAAGATTGTTAATGTTGCCTCCTCTGTGCTAACTTTGGCTAGTAAAGAGCTAGCATATCATCAGCACTAACGTTATTGTGACACGGAAGTGGTTCAGCTGGTTGTCAGGAAGCATCAAGCTGGGTGTCTGTGGCATGTAGTCTGTTTGGAAGCAGCTCTTGATTTCATAAACATAACTCTGGTTTATAGAAATGCTATTTTGCTATTTATTTAGTTTGTAGGACATCAGTCCTCTTTGCCTTGCTCATCCCTAGCCCATCAATCAGTCAGAACTGATCTGTTTCACCCAGCTGAGGTCACTCATTCACAGAGCTATTGACAACAGATAAGAACTCGCTTCAAAAAAGCCAAGCTATCACCTTAAGTTAATATTTCCTGTTGTAATCTTTGTACCATATATTATAGTGTTTTTAAAGTTTGAGAAGACTTGACAGTTTTTAACTGAATCATGTGTGTCTGCAGGACTTTTCAGGTTAAATGCCTCTAATTCTGGTAGGAAGTGATTATTCTGCGCAGTCTGGGTTGTTTACTCTGGTTAAACACTTGGTGATGTGGAACAGACCAGCCTGGAACAGCTGACACATAATCCAATAATTATTTTATTTACACCAAAAGGCCTTTAAAGGTTTAGGTAATGCAGATGTAGGTCACTGGTTTACAGAGTTAGGTGTGTATGTGTCAACACAGCCTTGTTGTTCTACCTTCAGCGGTATGCTCTCTTCTGTTTGAACAGGACATGCTTGAATAGCAGGGGCCACCTGTTACACAACCCAGCAACAGGTTTCCTGTCCCTCTCGTGACCGGCCGCTGTTCCCGTCGCTCTCGTCTTCAGTCACTTCCTACTTTAATGCTCAGCAACAAACGGCAGCAATGGGCTGAGGCTGTCTCTCTGCCGCCGCCGCCGCCGCCGATGAAGTTTATGAATGTACGAACACTTCCCTAGGCTGGTGCCGCTGTCCAGGTGAACTGTGGGGGAAGTCTTGTTCTGTTTCATTTATCAGTTCTGTGATGTGAGTTTTAATGTCACTTATTTATTTTATTTGATGAAGGATTGAATCTTTAACAGCTGCACTGCTAAAAGAGCCAAAGTGAAATCTTTGCAACAACAGCCAGGTGTTTAAATCCTTCTCCACTGCTGTACTGTTTCTGTCTGGTCACATAGAGAGGTTCTGGAAGACCATGTTTATGTTGTCATACATCATCATGAATTAATATATCAGTTTTTAATCTGCGATCAGGTGGGTGGTCTCTGGTTTATAATCTTCTTAGACCACTTGAGTCTTGATCCCTCCTGTTGAAGTATTTATCTATAATGTTCCCACGTGACCAAGAGGACATGACTCTGACACTTAGCTGATTTGTGAAAGCTCTTACTTTCAGCCTATTCTTGGAAAACAAGTCCTCAGGCTGCCAGATTATTTTTGCATCAGACTCAGCTGGTAAATTGAAAAGCTTGAGCAGGAATTTCCAGCAATAACGGTAGAGATTTTGTACATTAAGCATATTTTCCATGCATGCAGGGTAATCCTTTTGGCACAGCATCTTTTACTGTTTTTATTTGTTTCAGGACAGAATGAGCTTTAATTTGACTGCAGTTCTTAATGCTGAAAGCACAAAAGTCTTTTGTATTTTAGAAATCTGGTGTTGAACTTTTTTCTTAATCATGAATGATGTGCAAGAATGAACACTGTAATCATAGAAAGCATATTTGTGATAATTTGAGCAATTTTTCTATTAAAAAATCTTGTGAATTTTTAGAACATTTAGATTACCAAATACATTAATATAATTTGGTGATGGAAACTTAAAAGCTATGTGAAAAAACTACTGAATTATGTAAATGTTGTATAATAATAATATTCACTTGTTTAGCCTGCTAGAAAATCTGCAAATCTTTAGTTTTTTATCTGAGGTTCAGCAACTTATCTCTAAAAGAACAGGGTTAGTCAAGGTTCTTATTCTTTCTTCTACAAAGAAAAAAATCATGTGATGTCATGATTTTATTTGCCCTTTTAAAACATTTGTTGCAGTTATTCGACTTGTATTAACTGATGGTCCGCTGGAGTGCAGTAAACGGGATGTGGTTATTTAAGTGCCTGGTGAGAGAATCTGACAGGCGACCAGCATCTATCTGTTATCCATTAAATCAGTTTAATGCATTTTGTCAGTGATGATCGATTCAAAGTTGCACTTGCATAAAAGGGCATCTTGAGCTGTAAATGTCTATTTTATATGGGCTTCCACCAAAATCTTAACTATGAACAACTTAAATTGCATTTTTTGTGAGTAAAGTGATCAATAACCTGTTAAGTTTCTGTCTCATTGGCTGTTTAAATTGTTTCTGAACTCAAAGGAAAGACGAAGTGGAAGCAGGTTACTATGTAGCTGCATTACACTGGACGGCACCTGAGAAGGTGTGTTGAATGATGCTTTACTGTATTTTATGAGGGTCAGGGTGTGTATATTTTCCTTACTGCTGTGTCATTTTATTGAAGTCATTGTCAAGGTTTTGTAAATATAAAAAGTTGAACTGCTGTCTCTTCTTTCTGTATATTTGATGCATTTTTTCTTTGGGTTTGACAATAAATTCTTATCTTCCTCATTTTTGTTCAGAAATGATCTTTATGAACAAGAAGCATCACAGAATGAAAATGAGACTGGTAATTTGCCTTTTTTGAGCTCATTCTAATACTTTATTAGATGAATCAAATATTAAAATCCAGAAATGGATACATTTAATTTTATTTATTAAAATGATCAATACAGAAGAGGCTAATACATTTACCTAGCAATTCAACAGCAGATGCCCTCAGACTCTATACAGAAATTTACCCTCTTCGTCAAAGTAATCTTTCCCCACCTGCACCACAGGAGGGTTATCCAGCTCTAGAAACTCCTCAAGTTCTTCCTCTGTCAACACCTCCCCATCCCAGCTGTCTTCAGGCTCATCACCCTCCTCTTTGAGCTGGGAGCCATTGTTCTCCACCCCATCTGCAGATGCTTCTAGGAACTCTTTACTGAGCCCTTTTGTTAATTGTGGAGTCAGATCAGTAACGGGTGCTGGACTTCTAACTGGAGATCCTTTAATCATTTGAGTCTGACCAGTGACAGAGACTAACGTGGCTTCTTTATTTCCAGGTATGAGTATAGCAGGTGTGTGGTTCCCAGCCAGTTTAAGTTGGTTCTGTGGGGTCTTTGCACCAGAGGGAAGTAGCCCTAGTCCAAGTCCAGACATTACTTTTGCATCCTGCTTGGCTTTTCTAGTCAGAGGTGGGGTAAACTTGCTTCTCAGTACCCTGGAGATGACATCTGGGGTGACAGAGAAGCCTTCGGCCAGGCGCTCCACCGTCCACTCCTCTGGCAGCTCCTGCTTCAGATACCTAAGAATTAGAAAGATTAGTTCTGACCTTTAAGTACATACCTACATGTAAACTATTGGATGAACTGATACCTTATTTGCTCAATAGCATCCCATGTTAACTTTCTCTGTGGCGCCCCTGGTGGGACCATCTGCCTCCTCAGTATGTGATACTTCACTGTCTTCTGTCTCTTTCGTCCCTCACTGGAAAACAAATATGGTATTATAAACAGCACATTCATAAATCTAACACCATGTTATTTAACTCAAATCTTACTTTAACAAAGCCTGAATCTTGTCCTCCACATCCTCCAGGTCGTCTCCATCAGACCAATCATCTCTGTATCGGTGTTGATCATTGAATTCCTTATAAACGCCAAAACTCTGTCCTGTCCACGTTTTCTTGCTGCTTCTGCTGGAGAATCGGTAGCTGTTTAAAGAAGCTGAAGAAATAACTGATGAAGCACGCAGTTTATAGAGCAGAGAGAAGAACTGAACCCGTCCGGCCATGCTGCTAACACACGGTTTACATCACATTCCTCTCTTTAGCTTAGTAAGAACAAAATACTGACAGAAAATGGAAATAAAACAAATTAAGTATGCCTTATTTCGGAAGGGTTTCTTAAATTTCTTGATTCTAAACAAAAAAAATGTTAGACCTCTACCAAAACTAAACCCCTCTGTGGTCACGATTCACATGCAAATGTGCATGTTAACTACTTCCGCAAACAGTGGTGTGTGGTAGCGCGTGAACGGTGCAGTGCTGCCACCTAGCAGGGCGGAGGCAAAATCGCTACCTGCGGTCACTTGTTAGAACAAAATAATATTATTTTATGAATGTCATGTAATAAAAAATATGTATGGTTCAAAGCATTTAAAATGGCTTTAGCGCCAATTTAGTTTTCCTACACGGGATAAAAAAGTAAATAAAACCGGACACCTTTATAAAACATTTATTATTATAATAGCCATAAACAGCGCCACCTGGTGGTGAGCAGCGGCCGCCAGCCTTGTCCCCTGTAGTCATGTGTCACGCAGCCGCGCACCTCCTCCCAGCCGCCGTTGTTTCATTTGCGCCATTTTGTCCGCTCACTTTGTTGATTGGGTTTTAGCGAGCTGTACTGGAGCCAATCAGAGGGAAACCGGACAGTGAAGCTGCGGTAAGGGAGCCACGATTGAAGGCATTGGTAGTTGTCAGCACGGATTGGTTTGTCATGGACCAACCAAATTACTAACTCTGCTAAATGCGAAAAAGTCAAACTTAAGTTAGATTCGGACCTCATGTGCCTCTACACAAAAGACGCCTGCTTCGTCTTCTCGGTGTTAGCTGCTGCGAAGAAACTTGAGCCCTGTGCCGTGCCAACGTATGCTAAAATATAACGACTGTCAAACAAAGGCAGCTTTGGTAATGCTTTACTGAACGCACACGCTGAAAGAAAATACACACCGCCTCTTACAAACAAACCATCAAAATAACATTTTCGCTATTCAGACAGCGAGCATCCATTTTGTCCTTTCTAGAATTTACTACCCTTATAGCTTTGTTGCTAGCTCTGCTAGCCTAGCTCAATATTAACCCTTTAATAAAACACCCATGGTTTAGGGGGTTCTTCATCCATCCGATCACTTAAAAACAACACATTCAACTTTAAATTACAATATAGCCTTTAAAATTAAGCTAGTGTCAGTTAAAGCCTAATTAGATTACGGGTGTGTTACTTTGTACAGAGGTGAAGGCCAAAGAGACAATCCTGGTTTAAAATCATGATAAAACATTGAAATGAGGAACAATCTAAGCTATTTTTAAAAAGCTTGTTCATTTGTTTCAGGAAGATTGATGCAAGGGAATGGAGCAGTACACCACTGCCACGACTACAACAGGGGAGCAGATTGTTGTGCAGACTGCAAATGGACAGATCCAACAGCAGGTGAGCCCACAATCTCACCCATGTACCTTTATCGTTCAGGATGACAGAAAAATAACCACCCACTGAGTCTTAGTGGGTTCCTGACTGGTTTTGTCTTCCTGATTACATTTAAACCCAAAATTTCATCCCTTTTGCAACATTTCCTGTCACTCTAACCCTTCTATTTTAATGCATTTATTTGTTGTTTATTATTTATGTTTCTCCTGGTTGGAAATGCCAGGTGTGACAAAGTAGATTACTGTAACCACTTAAATGGGCTTTTAAATGTGTTTTGTACCAGATAAGGCTGTTCTATAAAATAAAAGTTCTGTAAATCAATGCAACAATTTAACATTTTAACTCTCTGCTGTGGCATATTGAAGGTCCATAAAATGTTGAGAGACGACTCTTATATTCAGCATAATCAGATTAATGGGAAATCCATGAATTAGAAATTTAATCTGTTTTTTCACCTCCCGAACTCTTTATTGCTAAAGCCTAGAGGTCGACCGATATTGTTTTTTCTGTTGCAGATACCGACGGCCAGCCGATGGCCGATTTTTTTTATGGGCTGACTTCCACGGTCGATATCTATCTAGACATCTTTCACCTTGTTTTCATGCTAAAATGTCACTAATAACATCCGCTGATGCACACATTTTTTGAAGCTGAATTAGTTTTTCAACTCTGAATGTAACTGACTGTTAAATCTGAACTTTGTGCACTGCTCAGCATAAAAGTCAGACATCTAAATAAAGTTAAGTTAGAGTGTTAAAAATACATTTAAGATAAATGCTGCAACAGCACCGGGCTGCTCGAGGATGTGCCTGGTTTTGAGTCGGCTTTGCTAAGGACAAATATCAGCTGATGTATAAAAAACAGTAAATATCGGTCTACCCCTACTAAGGGGTAATTTTCCTCTGATAATCAGTTTGGTTTTAAGTCTAAGCATGGTACGGATATGTGTATCTATGCTCTTAAGGAAATAGTGAATCTATTTAGGTCAAAAAAATTCTACTATTCTCATGAGTTTTATTGATGTCTCCAAAGCATTTGATCGAGTGAATCATAAAAAGCTTTTTACTAAATTAAAGCAAAGGGGTGTGCCTGGAGGTGTTGTGATAGTGCTTGCCTATTGCTATGCCCACCAGAAGATGCATGTTAAATGGGAAGGGAGTATTTCTGATCCCTTTAGTGTCCAATGGGATAAGGCAGGGTGGAAATTTATCTCCTGTTTTGTTCAATTTATATGTCGATGAGTTATCTGGGCGTCTGAGAGCTTGTAACGCAGGTTGTTTGATAGGTGATGTTTTGATTAATCGCCTTATGTATGCGGATGACCTCGTAGTTTTTAGCCCAAGTAATGCAGGACTGCTGCTACTCCTAGATGATAGTACTGGGTATGGAATGGAATATGATTTAAAATGTAACTCGAGCAATAGTGCTGTGCTCATCTACAGAACCACCCAGGATAAAATGCTTAATTTTCCTGTGTTTGAGTTGTCCGGCAACAGTCTTGCGGTCTGTGAAAAGATAAAATATCTTGGACACTTTATCACAGCCAATATGAGCGACGATGATGACATTTACAGGCAGTGCTGCAAGCTATACGTGCAAGCAAACACCGTTGCATGGAAATTTAGCAGTTGTTCCACACCTGTTAAAGTGGCATTATTTAATGCATACTGCACACCACTATATACTGCACATCTGTGGTCATTCTATAACAAGTCTAGCTTGCACCGGCTACAGGTGGCATACAGTGTTGCAATGAGAATCCTCCTCAAAATTCCCAGGGGAGGCAGTGCTAGTCAGATGTCTGTTTCTTTGAGAGTGTGCACATTTAAGGCACTTCTGAGAAA